ATAAAGAATATGGTAGAGTACCTGGCAGGTAGTTTATTTTTTATTTATTTATTTTTTAAAGATTTTATTTATTTATTTGAGAGAGAGAGAATGAGAGACAGAGAGCATGAGAGGGAGGAGGGTCAGAGGGAGAAGCAGACTCCCTGCTAAGCAGGGAGCCCGATGCAGGACTTGATCCCAGGACTTCAGGATCATGACCTGAGCCGAGGGCAGTCGCTTAACCAACTGAGCCACCCAGGCGCCCTGGCAGGTAGTTTAATGCTCGATAATAATAACTATTATTAATAGCAATTAGATAAAAAGATACCATGAACTCTCTGAAGCTAGTGACAGAATAAGCAGAGATGCTGATAAATAATGAAAGAAGTATGGGCGCCTGGGTGGCTCAGTTGGTTAAGCGACTGCCTTCGGCTCAGGTCATGATCCTGGAGTCCCTGGATCGAGTCCCGCATCGGGCTCCCTGCTCGGCAGGGGGTCTGCTTCTCCCTCTGACCCTCCTCCCTCTCATGTGCTCTCTCTCATTCTCTCTCTCTCTCAAATAAATAAATAAAATAAAAAATCTAAAAAAAAAAAAATGAAAGAAGTAAACAAAGGAAGGTGGAAAGGAAGGAGAAAACTAAAGCAAGCCTTTTCTGTCTCAGAAAGCCAAGGGGTCAGAAAGTTTCTAGGAGATAGTCAGTTTGTTGTAAAATATTAGATCAAGGTTAACAAGAAAGAGAAGTGTAATATACAGATGAAAAATGAAAAATCACCCAAATCTATCCAGAGATATAAAAATTATTAACATTTTATTGATTCTTCTCAGGTCTTTGAATGTGAATTTAAAAGTATATCTATAAATATATATAGGTAGATATAAATGTGTCATTAACATTCTGTTAAGTCACCTGCTTTTATCACATAATAAACATATGAAGATGTCAGTAAATATGGATATACATTACAATTTTCTATTTCATAGAATTCCGTTATGTGGTTGAACATACAATAAATATTTGGTTACTTGTTTTCTCATTGTATAAACACTATTCACTTGCCTCTGTGTTTGGTCCCACTGTCATAATTGAGGCTTTCTTTTTTGCCTAAACGGTATTAGTCACGTAATTGTCCCTTCATCTTTTCCTGTCCTCCTGTAGGCTGTTCTCTATACTTTTGAGTGAACAAATGCTGTAATAAGCATTTTGGTACATATATCTTTGTGTGCTTGGTCCTTTATTTTGTTTTGTTTAAATTCTTAGAAGTGGAATTGCTGGGTCCAGTTAAAATGGGTTACATTGCATATGTAAGGTTTCAATACATATTGCAAGATCTTCCCCCATGAAGATTTTTAAAAATTTACTATCATTGCCTGTTATGTATGTGAAGGTCCCATTTCCCTACATCCTTGCCAACAGTCTTTTATATGTAATAATCTTAGAAATTTTTGATCTCACTAAATTTCATGTTAGCCTATTACCTGTAAATATTTCCGAGATTGCTGGAGAAAGGGTTAAACTAGAGATTGCAAGTATCTCCGGTACCATTGTTCCCCTTTCTGAGCCTATACCAAAAAGCAGTGATTGATCTTGTCTGAAGTTCTGAAGACAGGTAAAATATCTTAGATAATGAGGAAGTTCTTTAGTAATTAGAGAAGAACTGTAACAGAAGAACAGTGATTGACTTGGTCCATTTAGTTCTGGGGTTTTCTGTCATACTGCTGATAAGCATGGCTGGGTGTAGGGGAAATGGAATGTTCCTGCTTTTGGCATTTTAAAGTGGGGGGACAAACTAGTAGAGAACTGTCATTTTGCAGAGACAATGTAATTTTGTTCTTTTGTCGTTAAGGTAATCCCTCCTGCCCAGAAATAGAGTTGTTGAACTTAAACCACGTGAAAATTGTGAAATTTAATAAGCTCTCAGATAAGATTAGAAGCCTTATATACACTGGGATGTGTTTTTAATTTTGCACTTACTGCCTAAGGAGAAGTATTGATTGTCTATACTTAGCAGGTTCCGGTTTTGTGTTTGTTTTGTTTTGTTTTTAATTAAAGCCAGGATATCAGCAGTGTTGGTCTTGTTTTGAATCTTCTTTTAAGGGTACTTTGCATAATTTTTTTGACTGCAAAGTAGAATAGTTTGTTGGTGAGTGCTACTGGTTTGGTTAACTGAGTCTACAGCTTAACTGAGTCTAGGGGTTTAAAATAAACCAGCCATAGGGGCGCCTGGGTGGCTCAGTTGGTTAAGCAACTGCCTTCGGCTCAGGTCATGATCCTGGGGTCCCGGGATCGAGTCCCGCATCGGGCTCCCTGCTCGGCGGGGAGTCTGCTTCTCCCTCTGACCCTCCTTCCTCTCATGCTCTCTGTCTCTCATTCTCTCTCTCTCAAATAAATAAATAAAATCTTAAAAAAAAAAAAAGGCATTAAAAAAAAATAAAATAAACCAGCCATAAATTAAAAATATTATTTGGGCTTCTGTATATAGCAGTTCATTATTTTGTTATCTTACAGAAAAGGAAAAGAGTTTCAGATTATATTCTTAATGGTTATTAGGATTATTAAGGGTGATTTTCCTGGCTGTTATACTTAGGTGGGATGGTGATCATGTCACTTCTCCTTTGCAAAACCAGACACTTTTCCCCATATCTGGCAGAGACAGAGAAGGACTGATTGTCAGGTAGGGAGAACAGATATATGAGTGACTGAACCTAGTCTGCTGGCTGACTCTTGTTAACAGTGGTTAAACTGAAATCTGGTAAGTATATCTAGCCGTGGATGTGCTTAGGAAGATTTATGAATGAATTTTTATTTTAAGCTTGAAGGTAGATTGACTATAGTTGAAGATAAATAAGACAAGGGCGCCTGGGTGGCTCAGTTGGTTAAGTGACTGCCTTCAGCTCAGGTCATGATCCTGGAGTCCCGGGATCGAGTCCCGCATCGGGCTCCCTGCTCAGCGAGGAGCCTGCTTCTCCCTCTGACCCTCCCCCCTCTCATGTACTCTCTCTCATTCTCACTCTCTCAAAGAAATAAATAAATCTTTAAAAAAAAAAGATAAATAAGACAGTATGCTTTAATTAAAATCTTTTGGTTACAGGTTAAAACCTGCTTACTGTAAAAAACCTAGCTTAATATAAGCAAAATGGAATTTGTTAGGCCACTGTCATATCTCACTATCATATCTCACTGAATGCAGGAATGAATCTTTAGTACCTTAGTTTATTAGTTCAGCAAACTGATCAAGGGTAAGATTGGCCCCCATCTTGATCAAGTGCCCACTCCTGGTTCAGTTGTTGGTGGCAAGGAGTATGGAGCCATCTTATAAACTTATCCATGATTATTGCAGGCCCTTGGAGGGTAGTATCAGGTGTAAATTCTTTGGGAATTTGTAGTGAACAATTCATTTGTAGTGAATTTGCTGTAAGTGATGGATTACTTTTTGTGTTTAGTAATCGGAAACCTGTAAGCGTTATGCTTTGTAAAGTTTATAGTTTCATTTTAACATAATAATTAGAAAGTAAGACTAAATCCTTTTTGATTTTTACATATCTTAGGTACTTTCCTCTTTGAGATGACAACCACATAGGAATAGCACAGTGCCTGGCAAATGCTTTTGGCTGAATGAGGGAGTACTTGAGAGGAAGTGACCACCAGATTTATGAAGCGCCCCTCTCCATCCCCAGTGACCTAGTCTTCACAATTGCCTTTTAGATTTTTCCTTTTATTGGATTTCTTTTGTTATTAGGCCAACACAGCTTTTTATCTTGTGAATCACTGAACCAAACAACAAAAAAAGTATAGTTAGGCCCTTTTGAGGTACATTGTTGTATCTAAGCATTAGAAAGACTAGAAAGCGGGGCGCCTGGGTGGCTCAGTCGTTAAGTGGCTGCCTTCGGCTCAGGTCATGATTCCAGGTCCTGGGATCGAGCCCCACATCGGGCTCCCTGCTCGGCGGGAGGCCTGCTTCTCCCTCTCCCACTCCCACTGCTTGTGTTCCCTCTCTCGCTGTCTCTCTCTGTCAAATAAATAAAATCTTAAAAAAAGAAAAAAAGACTAGAAAGCTTCGAAAGACTTTTAAAACCAGATGTTTAATGGGAAATTTTTAGAAAGCTCAAATGTAACCAAACAAATGCTTAAAGTCTTAAACGAAGGGGTAGATATTGCTAGACAGTCCACCTTCATATATAGCTAGACTCTGACAACTTCTTGCCGCCTCTGCAAATACCACCTAGTCCAAGGCGTCAGCATTTCTTCTAGAACAGCAGTATCTTTCAACATGGTCTTCCTGCATTCGCTTTTACCCCTTGACAGTGTGTTCTCCGAAGGACAGGACCTAAGTTGGATCACTTCCTACTCTGTTAAAAATTTTTCAGTGATTCCCATTCTAAAATAGAACCTAACATTCTTTCCATGACCTAGAAAGTTCCCCATGATTTGGCCCCTTCCTCTGTCACCCTAACTCTAGTGCTGTAGCCCCTTCCTTGTGCTGCAGTCACAATGACCTCCAAGCGCACTCACAGGAAGGCTTCTGCACTTGCAGTTTTCATTGCCTGAGGTATCCTTATTGCTTATCAAAGAGACTTTCCCTGATGACCGAAACTGAAAGAGCAGCCCTCATTGCTCTTTACTTCGTTCTTCCTGTTTTACTTTTTCTTTATAGCAGTTACAACTTGACAGCATATATTTGTTTACTTCTGTATCTGTTTCCTCTTCTGGACTCCAAGCTTCACGAGGTCAGGGATTTTGTCTTTTTTATTCACTGCTATGTCCTCAGTGTCGGTGGGTGCTCTGTAAATATTTGTCAAATACATGAGTAAATAGACTTGTGTACTCTGGGTGCTAATTGGCAGAAATTGTTTATTACATCTGTGGTATTGGTGAATGTGAGGATGAGTTGAATTCAGGAGATAGGAAGAAAAGAAATCATTCTGTAGCTCTGGTATGCCTTTTATAAAGCTGGTGGAAGTGGTTGCTTTATATAATTAGAATCGATGTTTTATCATAGTATTTGGTTATATTCCATTTAAGATGAAGAAGATGACTTCATGTGTAAGAAGGCAGCCTCTAAATCAAAAGAGAATGGAGGATCTGCAAATAGTTATCTTGGAGCAGCAAACATGAAAAAGATTGAAGAAAACACTAAGACCAAGAATAAACCTTTATCACCAATAAAACTTACCCCCACGTCAGTGCTTGATTATTTTGGAACTGGAAGTGTCCAAAGATCAGATAAGAAGATGGTAGCAAGCAAAAGAAAAGAGGTGAGTGTTCTACATGCAAGCAAGAATGTTCATGATTTGTACCCATTCACTGTTACATTAATAAGAGAAATTTGGATGTTAAAAATAGGTCAACATATTTTATTAACGAAAATAATTTTCCTGTGATTATGGATAAAACATATTGCCATCATTTTAGAGGATGAGGAAGTTAAAATATTGCACATGTAATATTCTTTTTAAGATTTTATTTATTTATTTGACAGCACAATCAGGGGGAGCAGCAAGCAGAGGGAGAGGGAGAAGCAGACTCCCCGCTGAGCAGGGAGCCTGATATGGGGCTGGATCCTAGGACCCTAGGATCATGACCTGAGCCAAAGGCAGACGCTTAACCGACTGAGCTGCCCAGGCACCCCTGCACATTTAATTTTTTTTTGTATTTGGAAGTGGGAAAAGATAATTTAAATCATAAGGATAAATTATAATTCTTAGAATTTAAATACTCAGAATACAAACTCACTTTACCATTGACCTCAGCCAGACTGAATTGGACAGTAAGCTTGTTCCCAAATGAGGTCATAAGTATATAACTTATAAATCGGGCTTACCTGTTATACTTTTGACCCTTTTACTTTGGCTGATGTTGGACTTACTATTTTCTGGGCATTTAGGAAACAAATACAGATAAATTATAGTGAAAGTATAAAAGACTGAGACTTCTTTTCTGTTTACATACTCTCCCCATGATCTCATCCAGTTAGTAATCGGAAACCTGCCCAATGGTGTATGTTTGTTGATTTCATTAGTGCCTCCATAGGACAAATGTAACCATTCACACATACTGGTTTGCCAATGTTCTGGACTATTTCTGAAGCCAAGATGTTGGTCTACAGGTCTTTTGGGTGTACTTCTTTTGAACATTTCAATAGATTAAAGTGAGAACCATCTGTTTGTAGGATATTTGTTCATTAGGAAATTGGATATGGTCAGGGAGTAGCTGTGAACATAACTTCCGGCTGGTGTGCGCTGAGACTATTTTATAGCATAAACTTATCTCTCATTGGTGTATTTAGTTAGCTGCAGTCAAGAAAAAGCACCTGATTTTTAACTTAAGGTTTATGCTGATCTTGCTTGATTTTCTTTGAAATACAGCCTTCACAAAATGCAGATGATTCCAGATTAAATGATGAAGTCATCGCCAAGCAGTTGCAACTTGATGAGGATGCAGAGGTACTGGCATTTTGTTTAAGTATCATTAACAATTTGATGTTGTGCCTTGCTATTTAGTCTACTCAGGCAGGGGTGCCTGGGTGGCTCCGTCATTAAGCGTCTGCGTTCGGCTCAGGTCATGATCCCGGGGTCCTGGGATCGAGCCCCGCATCAGGCTCCCTGCTCTACGGGAGGCCTGCTTCTCCCTCTCCCACTCCCCCTGCTTGTGTTCCCTCTCTCGCTGTTTCTCTCTCTGTCAAATAAATAAAAATCTTAAAAAAAAAAAGTCTACTCAGGCAAACAATCAGGATGTTCTAGTTTAATTTTGGAATGACTGTCATTATAAGAGTTGTGTGGGGACACTACATCAAAAACTAATGATGTAATGTATGGTGACTAACATAACAATAAAATAAAATTTTAAAAAAGTGTGTAAAATAAGTTAAAATCTAATATATAAAAATCTAAATTTATGTAAAAGATAAGTGATCAGAGCAGGGAGTAATTATTTAAAGATTTATTATTAGATTTCTTTGAATGGAAGCCTTCTTTAGTATAGTTAAAATAATTTAATTTGGTCATATCCATTTTCTTTTCACTATGGGCAATTTCAGTCCACTCATGTGGCTGTAAGTTCTGTGTATATGCTGATGATCCCTAAATCTGTCCCAGTTCAGCGTGCTCTCTTGAGAGGTAAACCTGTTATGTTCATTCAACAAATACTGAGCCCTGAGTGCGTGGCACAGTTCTAGCTAGGTGTTAAGGATACTGCAGTTAAAAAATATGTCAGGTCAGTATAACTGCTATGAAGACAAGTAAAGGGATAGATAATTTTGGGGGTGATTAGTGGGGTTATGAGTGTTCTATTTTAAATAGAGGGGTTAGAAAGTCCCCACTGATGAAGTGACACTGGGGAACAAAATGAAATGATAATGGTGAGCCATGGGGCTGACTACCTGGAGGAAGATTTCCTCTAAACCGAAAAGCAAGTGAATTTGGAAATCCTGTAAGTCTTGACAAGTCTCTGGAACCTACCAAAAGTACTTGGAATGGTAAGGATTTTGGATTTTAGTCTCTGTGAGATGAGCAGCCATTGGAATGGTTGACTACAGAAGTGACATGATTTGATGGATCTTAAAAGAAAATTATTCTGGCTGCTGGGAGGCTAATAAACCATGGGTGGGGCAAAATCAAAAGCAGATTAGTTTGGAGACTGCTACGGTTGGGTAGGTGAGAGAAGATGTTGGCTTGTACCTGGGTGATAATGGAAGGGATAGTGCGAAGCAGTCGTGATCTGTATGTGCTTTGAAGGTGCAGCCTTCCAGTTGCTGCTGACAGATTGTGTGTAAGGTGGGAGGGAACGAGAAGATGCCAAGATGACTCCGTGGTTTTTGGCTTGAGCAACTGGATGAATGGTGATATCATTTATTAAAATGAACACTGGTACAAAGAAGAGAATTCTGTTTTGGACGAGTTAAGTTTGAGATGTCTAATAGGTTTCTAAATGGAGATGCAGAGTAGGTGTTTGGATAGAGGAATCTGGAGCTGGGTGCAAGGGGGAGGGTGCGGAGTGGGGGGAGGTCTAAACTGAAGATGTGTATTTGGGGATCATTAGCATTTGAATGGTACTTGAAACCAGTGTAACTGGATGAGATCACGGAGAGAGTATGTAAACAGAAAAGAAGTCTCAGAATTGAACTGTAGGGTACTATTAACATGTAGAGGTCAGGAAGAAGAATATGATCCAACGAAGGAGATTTAAGAAAGTGACTAGTGAAGTAGGAAAATGAGGAAAGCTTGGTATTTTCTGGAAGCCAAATGAAAAATGTTTCAAGGAGGAGTGTTCGTCTCTGTCAGAGGCTCCAGACCTTGATACCTGATGCCTGAATCCCCTTCCTGTTTATTAGCTTTAAGTGTCACTATCTCATACTTTCTAAACTATATTAGAAACCCCTCCTACATACTGTGTTGTACCCTGTTTTTTATTTTTTATTTATTATTATTATTTTTAATAATTCAATTGTCTTTATTTGGAGTCATTCAGGGTGGTTTCAAGGACCTTTAAAAGTCCATAGAGGAGTTTGAGGGGGGGGTGGCATCTCCGTGAAACTGTGTGCAAAATTTTGCATGCTGTGCATCCCATACACTCGAAAAGAATCAGCTGGAAAAACAGACTAGAAAGAAGCAGCAAGTAATTGTTATAAGTCTACATTTGCATAAAACTTGTATTTCAGCATTTATGTTGCTTGACTTCTTTGAACACCTTCACTGAGCAGTAGCCTGAAAAGCTAGAGATCCTTTCATCAGAAAAATGCACAGTGCGCAAAATTTATATTTTTTAATTAAAATAAAAGTTCTCAGTGTTGTCTTTGCTTTCCTTTATTAAGTAAAATTATTTAAAAGTCTGTGTCTTAGAACTCCATGATGGTCTGCTTATATTGTCTGTGTGTTTTGGTTTCCTTCAAGTCATTTTGCTCCTTACGTACCTGTTATTTCTGATTGATTTCTGGACATTGTACATAACAAATTTGTAGAGAGAATTGGAGGCTCTAGATGTTGTTATATTTCATCAGGAGATTTGTTTTTGCTTCTGACAGCACAGCTGGATGCATCAGCAAACTAAGATAACCTTGTTTTAATTAGAGATTGTTGATTTGAAGCTGGGTTTTAGTTTATGAAGGGCTTATCTCTCTAGGTTACCTCTCTATCTGAATTATCTACTTATTTTTTTTTAATTTTTTAATTGTTATGTTAATCCCCATACATTACATCATTAGTTTTAGATGAAGTGTTCCATGATTCATTGTTTGTGCATAACACCCAGTGCTCCATGCAGAACATGCCCTCTTTAATACCCATCACCAGGCTAACCCATCCTCCCACCCCCCCTTCCAGAACCCTCAGTTTGTTTTTCAGAGTCCATCGTCTCTCATGGTTCGTCTACCCCTCCGATTTCCCCCCTTCATTCTTCCCCTCCTGCTATCTTCTTTTTTTTTTTTCTTAACATATATTGCATTATTTGTTTCATAGGTACAGATCTGAGATTCAGCAGTCTTGCACAATTCACAGCGCTTACCAGAGCACATACCCTCCCCAGTGTCTATCACCCAGTCAGCCCATCCCTCCCACCCCACCCCCCACTCCAGCAAGCCTCAGTTTGTTTCCTGAGATTAAGAATTCCTCATATCAATGAGGTCATATGATACATGTCTTTCTCTGATTGACTTATTTCGCTCAGCATAATACCCTCCAGTTCCATCCACGTCGTTGCAAATGGCAAGATCTCATTCCTTTTGATGGCTGCATAATATTCCATTGTATATATATACCACATCTTCTTTATCCATTCATCTGTCGATGGACATCTTGGCTCTTTCCACAGTTTGGCTCTTGTGGACATTGCTGCTATAAACATCGGGGTGCACATACCCCTTCAGATCCCTACTTTTGTATCTTTGGGGTAAATACCCAGTAGTGCAATTGCTGGGTCGTATGGTAGTTCTATTTTCAACTTTTTGAGGAACCTCCATACTGTTTTCCAGAGTGGCTGCACCAGCTTGCATTCCCACCAACAGTGTAGGAGGGTTCCCCTTTCTCTGCGTCCCCGCCAACATCTGTCATTTCCTGACTTGTTAATTTTAGCCATTCTGACTGGTGTGAGGTGGTATCTCATTGAGGTTTTGATTTGGATTTCCCTGATGCTGAGCAGTGTTGAGCACTTTTTCATGTGTTTTTTGGCCATTTGGATGTCTTCTTTGGACAAATGTCTGTTCATGTCTTCTGCCCATTTCTTGATTGGATTCTTTGTTCTTTGGGTGTTGAGTTTGATAAGTTCTTTATAGATTTTGGATAAGCCCTTTATCTGATATGTCATTTGCAAATATCTTCTCCCATTCTGTCGGTTGTCTTTCGGTTTTGTTGACTGTTTCTTTTGCTGTGCAAAAGCTTTTTATCTTGATGAAGTCCTAATAGTTCATTTTTGCCCTTGCTTCCCTTGCCTTTGGCGATGTTTCTAGGAAGAAGTTGCTGCGGCTGAGGTCGAAGAGGTTGCTGCCTGTGTTCTCTTTTAGGATTTTGATGGACTCCTGTCTCACATTGAGGTCTTTCAACCATTTGGAGTCTATTTTTGTGTGTGGTGTAAGGAAATGGTCCACTTTCATTCTTCTGCATGTGGCTCTCCAGTTTTCCCAACACCATTTGTTGAAGAGACTGTCTTTTTTCCATTGGACATTCTTTCCCTGCTTTGTCAAAGATGAGTTGACTATAGAGTTGAGGGTACATTTCTGGGCTCTCTGTTCTGTTCCATTGATCTATGTGTCTGTTTTTTTGCCAGTACCATACTATCTTGATGATGACAGCTTTGTAATAGAGCTGGAAGTCCAGAATTGTGATGCCGCCAACTTTGCTTTTCTTTTTCAACATTCCTCTGGCTATTCGGGGTCTTTTCTGGTTCCATACAAATTTTAGGATTATTTGTTCCATTTCTTTGAAAAAAGTGGATGGTATTTGGATAGGGATTGCACTGAATGTGTAGATTGCTCTAGGTAGCATTGACATCTTCACAATATTTGTTCTTCCAATCCATGAGCATGGAACGTTTTTCCATTTCTTTGTGTCTTCCTCAATTTCTTTCATGAGTATTTTATAGTTTTCTGAGTACAGATCCTTTGCCTCTTTGGTTAGATTTATTCCTAGGTATCTTATGGTTTTGGGTGCAATTGTAAATGGGATCGACTCCTTAATTTCTCTTTCTTCTGTCTTGTTGTTGGTGTATAGGAATGCCACTGACTTCTGTGCATTGATTTTATATCCTGCCACTTGACTGAATTCCTGTATGAGTTCTAGCAGTTTTGGGGTGGAGTCTTTGGGGTTTTCCACATAAAGTATCATATCATCTGCAAAGAGTGAGAGTTTGACTTCTTCTTTGCCGATTTGGATGCCTTTGATTTCTTTTTGTTGTCTGATTACTGTGGCTAGGACTTCTAATACTATGTTGAATAGCAGTGGTGATAGTGGACATCCCTGCCACATTCCTGACCTTAGGGGGAAAGCTCTCAATTTTTCCCCATTGAGAATGATATTCGCTGTAGGTTTTTCATAGATGGCTTTTATGATATTGAGGTGTGTACCCTCTATGCCTATACTCTGAAGAGTTTTGATCAAGAAAGGATGCTGTACTTTGTCAAATGCTTTTTCTGCATCTATTGAGAGGATCATATGGTTCTTGTTCTTTCTTTTGTTAATGTATCATGTTGATTGATTTGCGGATGTTGAACCAACCTTGCAGCCCAGGGATAAGTCCCACTTGGTCGTGGTGAATAATCCTTTTAATGTACTGTTGGATCCTATTGGCTAGTATTTTGGTGAGAATTTTTGCATCCTTGTTCATCAGGGATATTGGTCTGTAATTCTCCTTTTTGATGGGGTCTTTGTCTGGTTTTGGGATCAAGGTAATGCTGGCCTCATAAAATGAGTTTGGAAGTTTTCCTTCCATTTCTATTTTTTGGAACAGTTTCAGAAGAATAGGTATTAATTCTTCTTGAAATGTTTGGTAGAATTCCCCTGGGAAGCCATCTGGCCCTGGGCTTTTGTTTTTTGGGAGATTTTTGATGACTGCTTCAATTTCCTTAGTGGTTATAGGTCTGTTCAGGTTTTCTATTTCTTCCTGGTTCAATTTTGGTAGTTGATACACCTCTAGGAATGCATCCATTTCTTCCAGGTTATCTAATTTGCTGGCATAGAGTTGCTCATAATATGTTCTTATAATTGTTTGTATTTCTTTGGTGTTGGTTGTGATTTCTCCTCTTTCATTCATGATTTTGTTGATTTGGGTCATTTCTCTTTTCTTTTTGATAAGTCTGGCCAGGGGTTTATCAATCTTGTTAATTCTTTCAGAGAACCAGCTCCTAGTTTCGTTGATCTGTTCTACTGTTCTTTTAGTTTCTATTTCATTGATTTCTGCTCTGATCTTTATGATTTCTCTTCTCCTGCTGGGTTTAGGCTTTATTTGCTGTTCTTTCTCCAGCTCCTTTAGGTGTAGGGTTAGGTTGTGTACTTGAGACCTTTCTTGTTTCTTGAGAAAGGCTTGTATTGCTATATACTTTCCTCTTAGGACTGCCTTTGCTGCATCCCAAAGATTTTGAACAGTTGTGTTTTCATTTTCATTGGTTTCCGTGAATTTTTTTAATTCTTCTTTAATTTCCTGGTTGACCCATTCGTTCTTTAGTAGGATACTCTTTAGCCTCCATGTATTTGAGTTCTCTCCGACTTTCCTCTTGTGATTGAGTTCTAGTTTCAAAGCATTGTGGTCTGAAAATAGGCAGGGAATGATCCCAATCTTTTGTGTACCCTGTTTTTTAAACATTTATTGTAATTGCTATTTATGTGTCTCCCTATATGTAGGCTCTAAGCTCCACCCACCCAGGCTGTTTGTTTCACTCAGCCTTTGTGTCATCAGTGCTTATTTTAGTCCTTTGCATAGAAAAGGCTCTTACTAAATATTGTGAGAGAACAGTATTCCAGTTTTCTGAAATATATCTGATCACATTTTATTACTTTAGCAGTTTGTATTTTGTGTTTTCAAAATCTTTTCCATCTTATTTGATTACACTGAATTACATAAACTATAATGTCATAATTACCAATAATGAATTTCTGATGAGAGTATTTACATTTCTTCTGTTCTGGCTTCTCAGATCCTTTTTTACTAGAAGTATACTACATAGTGTGAAGTTTGGGGAAAAGATCCTTTTTTACTAGAAGTGTACTACACAGTGTGAAATTTGGGGAAAATGGTGTAGAGTTCAACCAGAAATCCTTGCAGGGCAATTGGAGGTTTAGAGTTTGAAGGACCTTTCGATGATGAAGATCTTTCATATTGTTTTTAGCATTAGATGTGTAGTTCAGTTATGGTAAGTATAAGGCAACAGAGAATGTATTGATGTGCATCTGTCTAGCTTGCTTATGGTTCGGTGTAGCTCGAGTTCATTTTAGAAGAAACAAGAAAAGGCTTGGTTACTGTGTTCTCATCAGGTATATGCCAATTTCCAAGCCTTTTCTTTTGGACTGGATGGATTTGGAGGTTCTTTCCTTTGTTTGAATAATATAAGGAGGCTTTTGTTTGATGTTACTTTAAGCCATTTTATCAGGGGCATAACACCAGTTAGTTTGTAAATGAGAAATATATTCCACTGCTACACATTCTTTCCTGGAAAAGCTCCCATTTTGCTGCAAATGAAAACACTAGAAATAACAACAAAGTAATTAGAATATCTGTGTGTTATATTAGCATGTTAGGAAAACTTCTGATATGATGACTTAAGTTTTCAGAACAGTCAGAACAGATACATTTGAATTAGTAATTGAAAATTAGAGTTTGATGATTGTAAGTGATATTTACATTTGTATATATATTATTGTGTGCAAAGAAAATATATAGTTTTCTTGATTTCTTAGATTTACTTTTTTTGTGCCCTTCAGACTGTTTTTCTGTTAGGGTGAGATTCTTTTCAGAGCTCTTTGTAGAGTTCAAAATAAATAGAAATAAGAGATCTATAAATGTTGTATTGGAACCGTTAAGAATTTGAACTTTATAAGTGAGAAATGTGACTTTAAAATACATTCAGTTTGGGGCGCCTGGGTGGCTCAGTTGGTTAAGCGACTGCCTTCGGCTCAGGTCATGATCCTGGAGTCCCTGGATCGAGTCCCGCATCGGGCTCCCTGCTCGGCGAGGAGCCTGCTTCTCCCTCTAACCCTCCCCCCTCTCATGTACTCTCTCTCTCTCATTCTCGCTCTCTCAAATAAATAAATAAATTAAAAAAAAAATATGTTCAGTTTGTCTATTGCACCCGTAAAATTAGAAATAAATGTTCTGAAATCTAATTTGGCTTAATGAAGCAAACCTGTGATACTGAACTATTAATATTAAGTAGAAGAATGTCATACTTTCTGGAAAATGTTTTTTCCAGTTTCTTCTAAGTATCATGACTCAAACATTTAAAAACTTTCATTTACAGAAAGAAAGAAAGCAACTTACTCTGTTGGTACTTTTTACAGCTGGAGAGACAACTACATGAAGATGAAGAGTTTGCCAGAACGTTAGCCATGTTGGATGAAGAACCCAAGACCAAAAAGGTGGCGTTTCACCAGGCTGTTTGTTTGCACTCTGAATATACACTGCAGATCAGTGTTCCCTTTCATACCTGTGTATTCGAGGCTCTGGAGATACAACCATGAGTCACTCTTCTAGAAAGAAGCTAAATTATTTTAATTTATAAAAATGTTTTTGGAGAAGCTTATCGAGAAACTTCTTGGTAAAGGAAGGTTGATCAGGCCAAAGCCAACCAGAACCCTTCTTCACAAAACAATGAATTGTAACTTTTACTTATTCTCTGTCACAAATGGGTTCTTATGTACGTGATCTCCAAAAAGTTAGCCTAGTTTCCATTGAATCATATTCTATTAATATTGTCCGTATCAATATCTGACTATTTTAAAAGATTTTACAGAAGGTGGGTATAAGACAATAAGGAGTTGGGGGGACTTTGTCATTTGAAAAGCCTTACTCCCCTGAAAGGCATTCAGATTATAATTATTAAAAAAAGAATACTGTGTTAGGTATCCCGATTTATGACCTCTTTGTAAAATGGAGATTTGAGGGAGCAGTGGAGAGAGTGGATTTTTTTCTTTCCTCTTGAGAAAGGTGCTCTATTAAGCTTTAGATTGTTTTTTTAATTTAGTCTTTTGGGTTTAGATTTTAGTTTTCAGCTGCATAATATAATTTGAGAATTGAGATGAAAGAAACAGAAGCAAGTCTTCCATTCTGACAAGTTGGGAACAACTGTGATAATTTTTTTATAGATGTATTTTTTATAACCTTTCAACAGTTTCCTCATCTGTAAAGTTAAACGTAAGAAAAAATGCTTCGTTTTGCCAGAAATTGTATGGATGAATGAATGAAAATTTATTGTATTGTCTTCTTGCTTTGGAAGGTGACCCTTAATCTTAGAATTAAAACTTAATTAAATTAAAACTTTGGTCAATTTTAACAACATATTTTGTGGTAGTAGTTTTCCTATTATTTGTCGCATTTGACACTTCAAATTTTCTTAGGCTCGGAAGGACCCAAGAGAGAGAGAAGCGTTTTCATCTGTCCAAGGCAATTTAAGTAAAGCAGAAAAACATAAATCTCCTCATAAAGGTAATACTAACAGAGAAAAGTAACCTGGAACATTTACAGAAGAAAATTCGTGATAACCTGTTTAAACATTCTATTCAAAAATTGCCTTGTATTGTTAGGTAGACATTATTTCATAGGGATATTGAAGCATGTTCTTCTTAGATACTTTGAAAGCTGTATTTGGATATTAGCTGGTGTTGAATGCCTGTCTACTCTATGAGTGTTGTAAAAAATATATTTAAGTTCTTGGTTTCATGTTAATGTTAGTTTCCAAGTGTAGTGCAACATGTGGGCTTCAGTATATGATGATGGCAAAGGACTAGATGTTTCGAGCTCATTGAATTGACTTGTAGTTGTCCAGATCATCTGAATCTCTTCTGCTGATTGTAGGTTTTATTTTTTACTGGTCCTGATAATCTAAGTATCTGCTAATATAGATGGTCTTAATCCTATAAGTAAATTCATTCATATAGTCTTGAAATTGCAGGATTTGGGCTTTCAGACTATATTATAAACACAGAAATTAAAAAAAAATGTATTTATTTATTTGAGTGAGAGAGAGTGTGTGTGCTCAGGTGAGCAGGGGAAGGGAGAGAGTGGAAGGGAGAGGGAGAAAGTCTGAAGCCGACTCTGTGCTGAGCAGGGAGTCTGATGCAGGCCTCGATCTCACGACCCTGAAATCATGACCTGAGCTGAAACCAAGAGTTGGACGCTTAACTGACTGAGCTACCCAGGTGCCCCTACAAACACAGATTTTTTATGTTGACATTCTACTCAGTAAGTTTTCTCTGTAAGTTTCAGATCATTGAAGTTTATCTGTGGAATAAAGGCCATGTCCTTAGATGTAGTTTACTATATCATTTGAAGTGATGAGTTATTTATATTTATTTATTTTGGTGGGGGGGAGGGGCAGAAGGAGAGAGAGAATCTTAAGCAGGCCCCATGCCCAGTGAGGAGCCTGATACGGGGCTTGATCTTACAACCCTGAGATCCTGACCTGAGCTGAAATCAAGAGGTGGATGCTTAACTGATGCCCATAAGTCATTCATAGGTGCCCCATAAGTCATTTATATTTAAAAAGTCATAACAGGAACCCCATAAGTCATTTATAATCAAAAAGATCCTTTAATTTGAACCGGTTATACAAAAATGTACAAATGTTTAGTTTTTTAAAATAATGTTCTGTGTAAAGAACTAAAATCTTAATGTGAATGTTAAGAAATCATGGGGCGCCTGGGTGGCTCAGTTGGTTAAGCGACTGCCTTCGGCTCGGGTCATGATCCTGGAGTCCCGGGATCGAGTCCCACATCGGGCTCCCTGCTCAGCGGGGGGTCTGCTTCTCCCTCTGACCCGCTTCCCTCTCGTGCTCTCTGTCTCTCATTCTCTCTCTCAAATAAATAAATAAAATATTAAAAAAAAAAAAAAAAGAAATCATGATATGACATTGTGTGCTACTAAGATTATTCAGTTGAAAATGAAAAAAAAATCTCGATTTGGGGGTGTCATTTTTTCCCAAAACAACAGTCATAATCTTTTCTTTCTTCCTAGTAAAAACAGAACAATTTTCAGATGACAGAAAGAACTGCAGTCCCAAGAAGCAAACTAAAATAGGATCTCAGCAACATTTGAAGTCATCCCCTCACAAAATAGGAGAAACTTCTCCAAAAACCAGTTCCAAGGTAGCCCTTTTGAAAAAAAAGGGAGAGAGTTCTTATAAAGAAACAGAGCCTGTGTCTTCAAAAAGAAAAGAAAATGCTGTTGAATTAAAAGGACAGACAAAAACTCCTAAGAAACCCAAAAGTTCTCCAGCTAAAAAAGAGGTAGAAATTTTCTAAAAGTATATCATTTGGGGGCTGTGTGTTGGTTTGGGTTTGACTGTTCTCAAGTTTTATTTTTGGCTTTAGAAATCATTACAGTACTTTTAAGCTATCTGACTTAGATGCTGTTGCAGAATATAGCTTATTAATATAGCTATATTAGCCAATATTTATTATTGCGTGTATTAGATATTGCACTAATACGTATGGGATCTCATGTAATCTTCACAACAACCCTGTAAGATGACTTACTTCTATTATTCAGTTTTTAATGATGAGGAAACAGGCTGATGAAAGAGTTAAGTAACTTTTCCAAGACCATGCAGCTAGTAAGTAGCAGGGCCAACTTTGAACTCAGGTCCTCTGAGGCCCAAGAAACAGCAGTATAACAACATGGTGGCTCTGAGCATGGACCCTGGAGCCATTTTCAGATCACATAGTCCTGCCATTGAGCAGATATGTTACTTCCTCTCTCTCTGCTTTGGTTTCCTCGTTTGTAAAAACAGGGATAATAGTGGTATCTGAGTTAGTATTCTGGAATATTGGAATAGTGCCTGTTCATAGTAAGTGCTATGTTTTTGCTATTATTATTAAAATAATTTGCATTTGTCCTGAGTGTATCCCTTTTTGCTCTTGTATAACAGTGTTGAGATAGTGAAATCGTTTGCAAAGGCAAAAAAACCAAATAATGCAGAATGGTTTTCAGAATCTTTGTTTTCATATATATTTGAGAATTGAGGGATTTCTTAAAATCTCTCATTTGGAACCACCGTAGATTCATAATGGGAAACCACTATTCCTTCAAGCCTCTTAGGCACTTACAATTAAAAGTAGAATATTGTCTATTTTAACTGCTTATCACCATTATTTTTTAGCGCAGAGCAGTGAAATGGTGATTTCTGGATACTTTTGTTTGTGGTCAGTGCTCATAAATATGCTTAAGGGAACAATTAACTTTTTGGTCTCCAGTTTTTCTTCACTAAATACTTACCTGGTGGATGAATGTTTTTCTTCAGGCACACTAAGCATGTTCATTTTATAGAGGCTGGTCTATTTTTATTAAAGGAGAAGAAATCTTTAAATGTTACTTTACTCTTCACCTTATTTTTCAGTTGGAATAGAAATGACTTAGAACTTTTACTTTTAGCCGTTTGGGGAATATCAGAGTGTTTAATAAATTCAGTCTACCTTGGTTAAGTAATTTTGACTTCATAAATGGGTATGCTTCAAAGTTACTTTATAAGTTGTTTATAATTCAGAATTATGTTTTTTACAGAATTAATGTTACAAATGAATAATTTTCCCATTTTGGTATGCATTGGACTCTCCTATGAAGCTTGTTAAATATATGGTTTTGTAGTCTAGACAGGTGTATTTCAATAAGCTCAGATGGATACGAGAACCACTGTTAAAAAGTAGGATTAGAGTCTAGGAGCAGCCTCTAATGGCTTACTTATAACCAGAGCAGCTTACTTACTTTATTGATTAAAATAATTTATTTGTATAAAAGTAATATTTTGTCTCTTCTCAAAGGGATTTGAGCTGGCTTATAAGTTAAAAAAATGTGAAATAGGAAGTAGAAAAAACAAGAGACCATTCTTGTAGTGGTTCTCAAATCAGAATTATCTAGGATGTTTTTCCCCCAAATACACATGCCCTGGCCATACCACATATATCTGAATCAGAAAATTAGAGTGAGTCCAGGGATATACAGAGTTTAAAAAGTTTCCCCAGGATTTTCTGAGATAGACCCATAGTAAGGTCCCCTGAGAGAAACAGAATAGGAGAGATTAAACCTGGAAGGGAGGGGTGGCATATAGAATGTGTCTACTTTTGGGAATAAAGCTTGCCTGTTGTTTGAACCTGCTGTGTATATGAAGCCATCAATTCTCAGCCTGTTGTGCTCATATACTCAGAGGTATAGGGCCATTTACTTTGTTTTAGGGGTGTGCAAGGGTATAGGATAAGATAACATAGGATATCTTCTTGTGTGATCAGGTATACTTGGGGGAAAATTAATTTTTTCATTAAAATATGCATGGATATATTATGGAAAAGAACTTGAAATTCACATGAATTTTTGAAATAAAATACACTTTTTTTGTGTCTTTGTTTGGGGCTAGCAATTTGGCTTGTGTACCTAATCTGCCCTTGCAGTATGTGCCTTTAGAGGGCCAAAAGGCTTGAGAAGAGCTGATGCAGGGAGGTTTATAAGCCAGGCATGCCTAAACTGGGGAGTCCCTGTTAAAATGTTAATTTCTAAACAAAGAAGTGACTTAATGTGTTTTAATTTTACATGAATTTCGCCTTTTTTCCCCCCCCTTTCCCCAAAGTCTGTAAGTCCTGAAGATTCTGAGAAGAGACGCACTAATTATCAAGCTTATCGAAGCTACTTAAATAGAGAAGGCCCCAAAGCTCTGGGCTCCAAAGAAATACCAAAGGTATGAATGCTGAGAGGGCAGGCTGTTCTGTCAGGGCCTCTGGCCCCTGGGTCCATGCATGTATTCACTATGTTCACAGCAGCAGAGCATTGATAATTAAAAACAGAGGGGTGCCTGGCTGGTTCAGTCTGCGGAGTGTGTGACTCTTGGTCTCAGGGTTGTGGGGTTGATCCCCACGTTGGGTGCAGAGATTACTTAAAAAAATAAAATCTTAAAAAAAAAACAACAACAGAAAAGCCTTAGTCACCATCTTTGTGAATTAGGGATATTTATTCATGTAATGAATTACTGCTTGATACTATAAAGAAAAATTGTCCTTTAAGTAACTCATAATCCTAGAGGGGCTCCGTTTTGAGGAATATGGTAATCATGGACTAGTACTTTTTGCTGGTAGTGTGGATCCACCAGAAACGGAGATTGAAGGCGTACCAGAAAGAGAAGGATAATCAAATGTAGTATGAAATTTTTGAGAAGGTAGAAGCAGAGGGGATTCAGGTCACAAATGGAGATTAGTAGTTTCACTAATAAAGAAGGGGTGAGGGTGAACCTTAAGGGGCTGGTGGGTTGTGTAGGAGGCTAGAGGAAGATGTCAGCCTTGCCTCTTGCTTGTGGTGTAAGACAGACTAAGAAAGACTCAACAAGCTCCTCTGCTTGGGAGGACTTTTTTTTTTTTTTTTTTAAGATTTTATTTGAGAGAGAGCACACAAGTGGGGTGGAGGGGTTGGGGCAGAGGGAGAGGGAGAAGCAGACTCCTAGCTGAGCAGGGAGCCTGATGCAGGGCTCGATCCCAGGACCTTGAGATCATGACGTGAGCCAAAGGCAGAAACTTAACCGACTGAGCCACCCAGGCGCCCCTGCTTGAGAGGACTTTAGGCATAGTGGAGTCCTGAGGGGACTCAGTGAAGGCAAGGTGGTGGAGGAAATATTGAGTAGAGGTTGAGGATATTGGGTAGCTTGCTGGTCCCGCAGTAAGTGTTCTAGAGTGGAAGAGTTTGGTTGAGAGGCTAAAAGTGCTGAGATTGGTTGTAAAATATATATTCAGAGCCACAATGGGTAATAATTCAGGATAGGTGATTAGGGTGTGGGATAGAGGCTTGTATGTGGACTTTTCCAGGGTCATTTTGAATTTGTTGAGAAGAATTTAAATACTTTAGTGTTCACAAGATCATTTCAGTCCTAGAATCATAAGGCTTGTAGGGACCTTGAGATGTTGTTAATCAAACCATTTCTCTCCAAGCAGATTCATAGCTTTTTTTTCCCCCCACCCAGTCTTTGAATTTCGTTTAGCTTCTTCCTTGCAGGCCTGTTTTAAGTCTATGTTGATCTTAATTCTCTATTCAAAGGGTAATAAGTAACTTGGAATGGTTTACATAATTTTCGTTTTGCTTGGTTCTATCATTTTATTGAACCATTGTAAAAATTTAAAGAAGTCTATAACTGTACATAGTTCCAATTAAGATTAAATGTCTCCTCCACCCAGTTCTCTTTGGCCATTGTCTTTTGTATATCGAATTATCTTTCTAATCAGGAGGTAATAAGATCTTGCCTTTAAGTTACTCGCAGGTTGTTAGATTTTCTGTCATAGAGTAAGCAGAGAGAAGGGCTGAAGCTCAAACTTGTTTAGCCTTTTTAGAGTCAAATCTTTCCTTTTTTAACAATAACAAGAAATTCTGTAGGTGGATTGCATCTAGTTGTTTATTTAGTTTTGTAAGTTAACTAGTGGTTTTTTTTTTTTTTTTAAAGATTTTATTCATTTATTTGAGAGAGAGAATGAGAGAGAGAGAGCACATGAGAGGGGGGAGGGTCAGAGGGAGAAGCAAACCCCCTGCTGAGCAAGGAGCCCGATATGGGACTCGATCCGGAGACTCCAGGATCATGACCTGAGCCGAAGGCAGTCGCTTAACCAACTGAGCCACCCAGGCGCCCTAACTAGTGGTTTAAATATTAAAAAAAAACACGAGTAGTATGAATAGATAATTTTAATAAGCTTTGTGAACTGTATTGGATGTATATTTTTCATTGCTGGTTTTGTTAAGTTTATTAAATGCTAACCTCCGTAAGAATTTCTCAGGATTTAATTTCAGGTTCTGCTTATTTGCTGTGAATTTCCTGCAGATTTTTCATGCTGAGATTATTTATGATGTCAAATGAGAAAAATCAACTTCCTGCAGTTTTGGTGCCAAATATTTCTTTGGAAGGCTACCATGTAATTTCCTCTCTGCTTGAACATTTTGGTTTTTAGGGAGCTGAAAATTGCTTGGAGGGCCTTACATTTGTAATCACAGGAGTGCTGGAGTCCATTGAACGAGATGAGGCCAAGTCTCTAATTGAGCGTTACGGGGGCAAAGTAACAGGAAATGTCAGCAAGAAAACAAACTACCTTGTCATGGGTCGTGATAGTGGACAGTCCAAGAGTGATAAGGTGGGTCCTGCTGTCTTCTCAACACAGTGAAATAGCCTGCTTGCCTTGGCAGGGTCTTACTGGGACCATTTGTAGCAATGCCCTCTACACAGAATTAAATGAAGAAAAAAGTTGGAAAAAGTAATTTCATCCCTATATTGTTTCTTCCACAGAAGTGTTCTTGGCTTCAACGTCAAGATTTTGCTTTTCCAGTTGAAGGCACAGTTCCTGTGTAGTTGACTTTCTTAGTGTAGTATTCTAGTTTAGATCATTTTTCATGGGTAGAAGCAAATACCGTTTTCTTTTTCTTTTACTCCTAAATATTCCTATATATGCCACTGTATACTTCATCTTAAGTTCTGTTTATTGAAAGCTCTTTTTGTGTTGGGGAAAATTATATTTAGCTCCAGGTAACAGAATATCTGGTAAGTGTGATTTGGCGAATAGCTGCTTATTTTCTTACCCAACAAGAATCCCAGAGGTAGGCAGTTGCTGGGGATGGCCCAGCAGGTCAGTGATGTAGTTAGGCTACTTCCATCCTCCATTTCTGTCACCTTTACTGTGGTAGCTTTAGTCTCTGTGCATGTTGCCTTGTGTTGCCAGGTAACTGTAGCTGTAGGCATTCAAGTCCACATTTCAGGCAGGAAAAAGGACGCAGTGGCAAGATGTCACAGTAGCTGTGAATGGCCTTAGAAGAGTTTTCCTGGAAATAGCTCTTACAGAATTCCCCTTAGGTCTTATTGGCTGGAGCTGTCACGTGGCTATTCATAGCTTATAAGGGAGTTTGGGGGAGGATGAGGACTTTTCTGATTCTTCAGTCATAATTCATCACTTGGAGATGGACACATCGGAGTTATTTTAACAGGGAAGATGATGGGAGAAAACAAAAACTTCAGGCGAGTCCATCTTGGAAGGCCCTAGTGGCTCTGCCCCTCCTAGGGTAGAAGAAAAGATAAAGCAGTCCGCAGAAGTGCTAATGTGACACGTCCATTGCCAACCCGTCACTCTTAGGGGATGTATTTGTTATTTGCTCTAGTTAATGGTACTTTTTCATGAATATGGTTTTTAAAAATATTGCAGTTATTCTAATTTACAAATGTGGTTTCACCTATGAAGAGACCCTAGAATTAGTAGTATTTTTTTTTAACAGAAAGTAATGGCTAGGATATGGTTGTAATGATTTGTATTTTTAATCAATAGGCAGCAGCCTTGGGGACAAATATTATTGATGAAGATGGCCTATTGAATCTGATTCGAACTATGCCAGGCAAGAAGTCTAAGTATGAAATAGCAGTTGAAGCTGAGGTTTGTATAAAATGAACTTGATTTATTTAAGGTATATATAACAACTTTTCTATTTCATAGAGATGTTTCGTGAGTGGCTGTAGACCTGTTGCCTAAAAGATTAACTTCCCCTTCTACCACAGATGCATTTAGTTGTGGTATCTTCTTTATCTCCTCCAGTATGTGACAGTTCCTCAGCCTTTCCTTGTCTTTTTATGACCTCGAGACTTTTTTTTTTGAGACTTTTTTTTTTTCTAAGATTTATTTATTTTAGAAAGAGAGCACGTGCGCATGAGCAGGGGGAGTGGCAGAGGGACAGCTGGGAGAGAAGCAGAAACCCCGCTGAGCAGAGAGCCTGACATAGGCTCGATCTCATGACCCTGAGATCATGATCTGAGCTGACATCAAGAGTCAGACACTTAGCTGACTAAGCCACACAGGCGCCCTGGCCTTGAGACCTTTTTTTTTTTTAAGATTTTATTTATTTATTTGACAGAGACACAGCGAGAGAGGGAACACAAGCAGGGGGAGTGGGAGAGGGAGAAGCAGGCTTCCCGCTGAGCAGGGAGCCCGATGCGGGGCTCGATCCCAGGACCCTGGGATCACGACCTGAGTCGAAGGCAGACGCTTAACAACTGAGTCACCCAGGCGCCCTGGTTTTTTGATGTCTTATCATTAGATTGAGGTTATGCATTTTTGGCAGGAATTCCACAGAGTGGTATTTTGTTCTTCTCAGTGCATTATATTAGATGTGTATGTTAATACGTCTTTTTAATTTTTTTTAGAGAGGTGGGATAGGGGAGAGGCAGAGAGGAAGAGAGAATCTTAAGCAGGCTCCATGCCCAGCGTGGAGCCCGATGCACAGCTCGACCTCACCACCCTGAGTCGATATGCCTTCTTATTGGTGATGTTAATCTTGATTAAGGTGGTTTCTGACAGGTTTCTCCACTAGTAAAGCGACTCTTTCCCTTTGTAACTGATAAATATCTTGGAAGGGAACTTGAATACTATGGTAATATCCTGCTTCTCCTCAAACATTCACCCACTAATTTCAGCATCCACTTACTGGCAAAGAGGCACTGTTTTTTTCTTTTTTGTGACATTCACACCATAAAGTTCACCCTTTTAAAATGTATTTCAGAGATTTTTAGTGTATTCCCAGGATGGTTGTACACAACCATCACCAGTATCTAATTTTATCACTCCCTGTAGCCAGTTAACCATCATTCCTCATACCCAGCCCCTGGCAACCACTATTCTGTTTTTTGTTTCTATGGATTTGCCTGTTCTGGACATTTTATCTAAAGAGAAACATGCGATTTGTGACCCTTTGTGTCTGGCTTCTTTCATTTAGTATGTTTTCAAGGTTCATCTGCACTGAAGTACATGTGTCAGGACTTTACTCCCCTTTTTTTGGTGATTAATACTCCATTGTGTGTGCATACCACATTTTGTTTATTCATTCTTCAGTTGATGGCCATTTTGGGTTGTTTCTATTCTTTGGCTGTAATAATAATGTAATTATATAATTAATATATAATTATAATTACATATAATAATGCTGCTGTGAATATTTGTGTATAAGTTTTTGTGGAGGTGTTAACTTTTAATGAGTCAGAAAGCTGGAACAAAAATTTCTTAATTTTTTTTTTTGATTTCAGACTGATTACAGAATATTATTTGTAAACTTAGCATGGTCTCACTAAAAAAATTGCATTTGGGTGCTTTTTGGTGTGTTTGTTGTTAATTTTTATCAAGTTTGGAAGGTGGTGATTTCCAGAATAGCAGGGTTCATTGTGAAAAACCAGACCCATGCTGGGTAGCTCACTTGGATATCCCAGATTAACCCTATAGAGTACGTTTAGCAGGATAGATATTCTGTATATCTTACCAAGTTTCTTTTTTTTCCTCACTTTTCCAATTTTAAAGATGAAGAAAGAGAAGTCCAAATTGGAAAGAACACCTCAAAAAAAAGACCAAGGAAAAAGAAAAATTAGCCCAACTAAAAAAGAGTCAGAATCTAAAAAAAGCAGACTGACTCCCAAAAAGGACAGCTCCATAAAGTCAGTAAAAAAGGAAACCAGTATGTTTTGGAGATGCCTGGACTTCGAGGAGCAGGTGGCTGAGGAGACAAACGGTGACAGCCGGGCTAGGAATTTGGCTGATGACAGCAGTGAAAGCAAAGTGGAAAATTTGCTCTGGGTGGATAAATATAAGCCAACCTCGCTCAAGACCATAATTGGACAGCAAGGTGACCAGAGCTGTGCAAACAAACTCCTCCGCTGGCTCCAGAACTGGCACAAGAGTCCATCCGAAGATAAGAAACACGGTGATTTTGCAGCTTCCTTCATTTTTGTGTGTGTCTATCACCATGTAATTGCTCAGTTCCACATCTGTGAGAAAGTAGAATAGTTGGTTCATTCATCTCTCAGCAGACATTGAAAGCCTGCTCTGAGTCCAGGTGCAATACTAGACCCCAGAGGTGCTGTTGTGAACAAAAGCGTCTTCCTCAGTTTGCTCACAGTCAGTCACAGACCTAGATGAGCCAGCAGGTAAGATATGTGGTGCTGAGTCCTGTTGGAGGGGTAAGTGTAGGGCCCCAAGAGCAGGGAGCTGTGTGGTCAGGGATGTGGAGGTATGCTCCCATCCCAGGAGGAAGGGGTAGCTAAGTGAAGACTTGGAAACGAAGCAGGAGTTAGCTGGGTGAAGGGAAGGAGGAGTGTTGTGTGGGAGAGAACACAGGTACCAAGGTCTGAGGATGTGTGAGCGAGCCACTGAGTGCGCCAGGGAGACTCGGCGGAGAAGTGTGCAAATTAACAGCTGAGGCACACTCCAGACTAGGCAGCCTGAAGATCCCAGCGGTGCATTTGCTTTCAGGAGGGCCTGAGCTCTGGCTTCTTCACCATGTATTTGTCGTGGAAAAGGAGCGGTATAATCGGTGTTTAATGTCTAGGGTATTATTGGAACCGAGGTTTCAGATCACAGATGTTAGTAGTGTTCTTGGGAGGTGCACCCGCAGCCCTGGAGGATACTGTGTGAAAAAAAAAAGAAGGCAAAATCCAGTGAGCATCACAGTGAATTCCCAGAGTGATGACTGGGTTATCAATGTCCATCTGGTCACTAGACATTGGCCGATGTTGCCAGCTTATTTATGACAGAGGATGTAATTTAATGATACAGGTTTAAATTTGAGTTCTTTTCTCTTTCTAAAATCACATAAAATCTTAAAGGGGGATATAGTGCTTTGTATGCCTGGAGAAGACTTTATAAGGCTTCAGGGGAACCAGAGTCCCTTTTCCCATGCCTGCAGCAGGTTTAGCCATCTCTCTCTCAGACATCGTGTCTGTATAGAGCACCCTTGATGTGTCAGGCCCCCATGTGATAAGGGGAGAAGAATGCTTTAGAGTTGAGCTGGGCAGGGTAGTTGCAGATACACCATCTTCAGTTCATTCTTTTTGTGATCAAGTAGCTGATTATGCTCGTTGACATGTATTGAGGCATGCCTGGCTCTGTGATCAGCATGTTCATCCTGACAGTATCCCTGCCAGTACATTACTGTTGTTACCCTCATTTTACAAAGGAGGAAATAGGCCCAGGAGGTTAAATCATTTCTCCCAGCTGGTGAGCGGTGGAATTAGGAGAGCTGGAGTTAGGATTGGAGCCCAGAAACTCTGCTCCCTGACCTGTGCTTTTGTAGGAAAGGAAACCCATAAAGTTATGGTTCAAATCAGAATTGGAGAGTTAGTTTTAGTGTTTTATTTTGGGTGTAAGTGAGGTAGGCAGTAGAGTTTCAGTAAGTGCTCTGGAAACTGTTGTTTATGGTTTGTAGGAAATATTCTGCAAATTTAGAGGTAAATTGGAGGACTGCTCTTGATTTTCAGTTTCTGCACAGTGATTCTTGCCATTCCTGAATTTCTCTTACGTAATATAGGTTAACACTCTGGAACTTCTTTTTTTCCAGCAGCGAAGTTTGGTAAGTTTGCTGGCAAAGATGATGGCTCTAGTTTTAAAGCAGCGCTGCTCTCGGGCCCTCCAGGTGTTGGCAAGACAACCACAGCCTCTCTGGTTTGTCAGGTGAGTGTTGTGTCTTAGTGCAGTTGGAAAGCTAACCCAGGAATGGGCATGTGTAGCAGATACATACCTGTGTGTGTGTGTGTGTTAGTAGGTCTGCGGCATATGTATTTTAACCTGCTCTGTATAGACTTTGTAAAGTCAAATTTTTAGAATTTACCTCGGTTCTGGGGATATTTGTCATTTTCATCCTTTTCTTAATATTGGTAATTAAAATAATAGGTAATATTTGTGTGCCAGGCCATGTGCTAAGCCGTTGGGTGTATTATCTTTTAGGTAATATAAATATGTCTTATAGACTCTTTTTTTTTTTAAAGATTTTATTTATTTATTTGACAGACACAACGAGAGAGGGAACACAAGCAGGGGGAGTGGGAGAGGGAGAAGCAGGCTTCCCGCAGAGCAGAGAGCCTGATACGGGGCTCGATCCCAGGAGCCTGGGATCATGACCTGAGTCGAAGGCAGACGCTTAACAACTGAGCCACCCACGCGCCCCCTGTCTTATAGACTCTTATGGATAGAAATACTCCATCCTCATGTGACAAATGAAATGGGCTTACAGATGAGGCTCGTGGCCCAGGTAGTCTGACTCTTCACCGCTCTGGGAGCCTGCCTTTGTTCTTGTCTCTACAGCTGCCATTTCTAGACCGTGAGAGGGGAGACACTAGAGCAAACTGGAGTTCATGTATCATGAATGTGAAGTGATATATGAAGTGGTAGCGGAATGATGAGAGATTTTATTTATTTTTATATTTACTGATTTTTATTTTTAGAAGATTTTATTTATTTGTCAGAGCACACAAGCAGGGGAAGCGGCAGGCAGAGGGAGAAGCAGGCTCCCCGCTGAGCAAGGAGCCCCATGCGGGACTCCATCCCAGGACCCTGGGATCATGACCTGGGCCGAAGGCGGATGCTTAACCGACTGAGCCACCCAGGTGTCCCAAAATGAGGGATTTTAAACTTCTTTTAAATATACTACTGGATTTCCCAACCCTTGTCCTATAAGCATAATTTAGCTGGTAGAACAGCTATATATTTTCTGTTTTATTACAAACATTAAAAAAAAAACAAAATTTTTTCCTAGTCTCTACAATTGTAAACATGACTTTTTTCTCCCTTTATTATCATCATTATTTTGGAGGGGAATTGAGTTAAGGCTTTTCATCAATAAAATCAATTTTGGGAAATGAGTCAGAATAACTTGATTTTTCACAGCTTGGTAAGAAGATTATGTATTGGGATGGTTTAATAACGAATGATTTAACTTTATCTTGAAGAGTCAAGAATTATTTTTGGTAACTATCTAGATTAATTCTGTATGTGATATTGAAATCTTGGGATGGGTATATTTAATTCTTTATAGGATTTTAAGAAGTAAACTTAGTAAAATTGCTTGTTCAGGTATACTCTTCTAGATTAGTGATTTATTAGCTGTGGTTTTAAGATGGAACTTACGTGTGTGTGTGTGTGTATGTGGTATATATGTATATATTTAAAAAATCTCTTAATATTGTGAGGCATGTTATGTCATCGTCTTTGTCTTTTTTATCCATGGTTCCTTATGTCATTTTTATGCCCACTTTCTTCATTAATTGCCTTGTTTTTGGGGAGAGTTAATAATTTGTATTGCGACAGTAACGGTTTCCAATATTTTGGTTAGGAATTGGGATATAGCTACGTGGAACTGAATGCAAGTGACACTCGGAGTAAGAACAGTTTGAAGGAGGTTGTTGCTGAATCACTGAATAATACCAGCATCACAGGCTTTTATTCAAGTATGTGGGTATTTGAACTGTTTTCTTTGGTTATGTAAGGAAAACAAATTCACTTCAACGTTTAGGAACCAGTATGGAACATTACTATGTGCCAGGCACCCTGCTAAATCCTGGGGCTAATGATGGAACTCTTATAGGACAGTAGTTCCCCCCCCTCTTTTTTTTTCAGGTCTTAGCAGTTTCTTTCTTTCTTTCTTCCTTTCCTTTCCTTTTTCCTTTTTTCTTTTTCCTTTTTCCTTTCCTTTCCTCTTTTCTTTTCCTCTTTCTATATATATATATGAGAGAGAATGAGATAGAGAGCATGAGAGGGGGGAGCGTCAGAGAGAGAGGCAGACTCCCTGCTGAGCAGGGAGCCCAACGTGGGACTCGATCCCGGGGCTCCAGGATCATGACCTGAGCCGAAGGCAGTCGCTTAACCAACTGAGCCACCCAGGCACCCTTAGCAGTTTCTAAGAATGTGTTAAAATACATATATGGACATGTTTATACATGTTGCACATTTTTTAGAGGATTCACAGGTGAATCTTGTGAAGAGGGAGAGTAAATAAAGTATTGTAATTCAGTGTGATGAGTGAGGTAATAGAGGCCTGTAGATGAAGAAATGATTTGAATTGGGGCGCTGGGGAAAGTCAGGATAAGGATGGTATTTGTTCAACAGGCCTTGGAGGATGAAAGAGGATCATTTGTGGTGAAAGGTCATATAGGCAAAGACAGTAGCAGAGGAGAAGAAATTGTGAAGGTGACACTGTTTGAGGCTGTAGCTGGTGGTCTGGTATGGCCAGAGTCTATGGGAAAAATAAGATACTCAAACTACAGACTCAGTAGTGCAGATTTAGAACTTATGGTAGATACTGCACAGTCACCTGAATTCTTGGTACTTTCAGTGGTAGCAAATCATTATTAAAAAGGATTTGCTCAGGTAATGTCACTCTGGCTGGTGGGAGTGTTAGTTAATTGGTACTACTCTGGAGAGTAGTCTGGCAGTATTTTTCAAAAGTTACATTATAAAGACCTTTTAGCCCAGAAATTCCAGCTCTTGGAATTTAGCAATTGATATATGCCAAGTGTCATATATATATATATATATTCATTTAGTATGATTTGTAATAGCAGAAGGTTGGAAGCATCTTCATATTTTATCAGTAGATAGTGATTATGATACATGTGTAAAATGGGATATTATTAAATAGCCTTAAAAAATGAGGTGTTAAGGAACAGATCACCAAAATACATTGAATGATAAAACCAAGATATATATTTTTATGCACGCATGTTTTCAATATGTATAGGGATACCCGAGGGGGCAAAGGTGGGGGGGAGAATTTCTTTTCATCTGCATATTCTTGTGCCTCTTGCATTTTGGTTTAAAATGTTTTACATGTTTTTTTAATAAAGCAGCAGCATTTGAACAGTTGCTCTTTTTTGTCCCATCCCATAGCTTCTCAGCATCGGTCAGGCGGAGCAGCCCATTCAGTAAGCACGAAACATGCTCTCATCATGGATGAAGTAGATGGCATGGCAGGCAATGAGGACAGGGGAGGAATTCAGGTAATGAAAGCACTGTAGTTTTGCAGCTTTACTGTTGATTTTTAGTTGTAAGATAGTTTTTTTAATATTTAAAGAACTAATTGTGCTGTAATATTTACAACAATTAAAGCATGTTGCTGAGGTTTTCAAAACCTAAAATACATTGTGTAGTATTTTGTTGTTTTTTTTTTTAAATATTTATGTGTTGCAAATTTGCTTTTTTAGGAATTAATTGGTCTGATAAAACATACAAAAATTCCCATTATTTGTATGTGCAATGATAGAAATCATCCCAAGATTCGTTCTTTGGTTCATTATTGTTTTGATCTTCGTTTTCAAAGACCTCGAGTTGAACAGATTAAGGTAAAATGATTGTAATTTTTTTTCTCCATCACACTCTCCTTCTTATTTTTTGGTCAGTATTTCTCAAAAGTTACCTTTAAAAGTACCTGATAAATATTCTAAAAATATCTGATTATGTGACTTTAAAAAAAACCATTTAGGATTCCCCTTTGTCAATTTCAGGGTGCTATGATGTCTATTGCATTTAAAGAGGGTTTGAAGGTCCCCCCTCCAGCTATGAATGAAATAATTTTGGGAGCCAATCAAGATATCAGACAGGTAAATTAAATACATATTACGTTAATAGTTGCTGATTCTTTTGAATTAATGCCTTCAACTTTTCAGAGAGGAGGAATGGCATTATTGTCTCACCTTGACCATGTCTTATTTATGATTTCTGTTAGGTTTTACACAATCTGAGTATGTGGTGTGCACGAAGTAAGGCACTAACCTATGACCAGGCCAAGGCTGATTCTCATAGAGCCAAGAAGGATATCAGACTGGTAAAATAACTTTCCATTTCTTAGTTACTTTCTCAAGCTAAAGCATTTCTTGTTCTACTCATATTAACTTAGTAGAAGTAGTTATTATAGTTCCTTGACACACCTATTGAACCTATGGATATTTATAATAAGAAAGCTGCTAAAAGGTTTTCTAATTCAAATGAATTTTTCCTCAAGGACTATTAGTGTACATTGTAAATTATGAGAAATGGAAGTTTTAAATTATATTCATGCTTCAGTAGTTATAAAATGGTCTTTTCAGAGTCCCTTATGTATAGATTCCATGGTTTGAAGTTTTGGAACTTTAAGAATAATCTGTTTCAAATGGCCTATAATTTATTTATTTATTTATTTTTAAAAAGATTTTATTTATTTGACAGAGAGAGAGAGAGAGGGAACACAAGTAAGGGGAGTGGGAGAGGGAGAAGCAGGCTCCCCGCTGAGCAGGGAGCCCGATGTGGGGCTCAATCCCGGGACCCTGGGACCATGACCTGAGCTGAAGGCAGATGCTTAACCAACTGAGCCACCCAGGCACCCCTCAAATGGCCTATAATTTAATAACCTCTCTGAAACTTGAAACCAGAAGTCGGTATTAATTATCTGTGTTCTATTTCACCTAGTCACTAGTCAATTTATTATTACAGTTAGAGCAGTGATTAAGTAGTGTTTGTAACCCCCTCTCTCCCCCCCTTTTTTTAATCAAACTTTTTTTTTTTAAGATTTTCTTTATTTGTCAGAGAGAGAGAGAGAACCCAAGCAGGGGGAGCAGCAGGCAGAGGGAGAAGCAGGCTCCCCACCTCGCAAGGAACCCGATGCGGGACTTGATCCCAGAACGCTGGGATCATGACCTGAGCCGAAGGCAGATGCTTAACCGACTGAGCCACCCATGCGTCCCTAAATCAATACACTTTTTAAGAGCAGTTTTAGTTTCATAGCAAAATTTAGCACAGGGTACAAAGACTTCCCTTATTATCACCTGCCTCCAGACTCCTACAACCTTTTCCACTATTAATATCCCCCACCAGAGTGGTACATTTGTTACAGTTGAACCTACACTGATACACCCAAAGGCCATAGTTTACATTAGGGTTAGTTCACTCTTGATGTACATTCCATAGGTTTTGACAGATGTATCATAGCTTATATCCACCATTGTATATCACACAGAATACTTTCACTGCCCTAAAAATACTCTGTACTCCTCCTGTTCATCCATTCCTTCCCCCAACTCCTGACAATCACCAATCTTTTTTTTTAGATTATTTATTTTAGAGAGAGCATGAGCAGGGGGAGGAGCAGAGGGAGAGGGACAAGCGGACTCCACATTGTGTGGAGCCCGACACGGGGCTCAGTCTCATGACCCTGAGATCATGATCTGAGCCGAAATCAAGAGTTAGCCAGCCACTTAACTGACTAAGCCACCTGGTGGCCCAATCACTAATCTTTTTATTGTCTTCATAGTTGCACCATTTTCAGAATGTCATGTAGTTGGAATCATACAGTATATAGCCTTTTCAGTTTGGCTTTTTGTTTTGTTTTTTGTTTTTTGAGAGAGCACGTGTGAGTGAGTGCAAGCAGGGGGAGGGGCAAACAGAGAGGGAGAGAAAATCTTAAGTGGGCTCCATGATGTAGGGCTCGATCTCACGACCCTGACATCATGACCCAAGCGGAAATCAAGAGTCAGACGCTTAACCAACAGCCACCCAGGCACCCCCAGATAGGCTACTTTCAGTTAGTAATGTGCATTTAAGGTTTCTACATATCTTTTCATGGCCTTATTATAGCTCATTTCTTTTTTGTGCTGAATAATATTCCAGTGTCTGGATGTACCACAGTTTATCCACCTTATGAAAGACATCTGGATTGCTTCCAAGTTTTGTCAGTTATGAATAAAGCTGCTGTCAAGATCCATGTGCAGGTTTTTTGTGTAGTATGTTTTCAGTTCGTTTGGATAAATACCAAGGAGGACAATTAAGAGTATATTTAGTTTTGTAAAAAAACTGCCAGTCTGTCTTCCAAGTGACTATACCATTTTGCATTCCTACTAGCAATAAATGAGAGTTCCTGTTGCTCCACATCTCTGCCAGCATTTGATGTTGTCAGTATTTTGGACATTGGCCGTCCTACTAGGTGTGTCCTTCCCTTTTTTTAGGGCCCATTTGATGTTGCCCGGAAGGTGTTTGCAGCTGGAGAGGAGACTGCTCATATGTCACTTGTGGACAAGTCCGATCTGTTCTTTCATGATTACTCAATAGCACCCCTCTTTGTCCAGGAGAACTACATACACGTGAAGCCTGTAGCTGCAGGGTGAGTGTTCAGAGCTAGTGAGGGGTAGGCCATGTTCCTGGGAGAGAGGAGTAGGAGGTATGGACAGTGGTGTGATCCAGACTGCTTTATTTATGCAGGGGTGACATGAAAAAGCACCTGATGCTTTTAAGCAGAGCAGCAGATAGCATATGCGATGGTGACCTAGTGGACCGTCAGATCCGGAGTAAGCAAAACTGGAGTCTTCTGCCCGCACAGGTAAGCACGATGCAGACTCTGCTTTAGGTAAAATAGAAGAGCTGTGAGCTCCTGTAGTTATGTGAAATACCAGAGAAACATTATGGCTCTTACGGCAAAAATAAAGTCTGTTCTAGATTAAAATACTCTGGGGTCACAATTGTCTATTTCTTAATAAAAATGAAACATAAAAATAGCCTTACTTTTCAGGGTTTCAAAATGTCTCTATGTAAATGGACATATGGAAATAGGAACATTAGATTCTGGACATAAATAAGGTGTTAGTCAAAAGCTTTATTTGCTCTGTTTTACCTTAAGAATGCCTTTCTTTTTTGTTATTCTTGAGTCTCCCCGATGGTGACTAAGTAGCTCCTACTTGAAGATGCAGCCAGGGCAGGTCAGCAGCTACTTCTCTGATATGTGAATTCTGATTGTCTTCTTCCTTGCTGAAGAGGCAGCTTTATACTGGTACTTTATTTAGGTGGTAACTTTCACTCAAAACAGAGTTTTGCAAACTTTCATAATTAAGAATATTATTTCTTCTTGAGTTTTGCATATTTATACAGCATTATTGGCCCAAGTAATAATATGCAAGGGACTTCTGGAAGGCCTACTCCTCTCTTAATTCTACCTATACATTGTTGGGAAACAAAAAACAAAGATTCATTCTGGATATAAAGAATCCTTTCTCTTATGTTTTACAAGTGTTCATTTTTTAAACTAATAATTGTATCTTTAAGAATTTATCCTAAAGAAATAACTTTAAACATAGGAGAGCTGAATGTACAAAAATATTACATGAGTTTTGATACTGTAAGAAATTGGAGAAAATCTCCATGTCTGGAAGTTGGAGAATGATTAATTATGGTAAATACTCTTGATGGAATATTATGCATTCCTTAAAATTATTTATAAAGATTGTCTAATATGAAAAATGCTTATGAGAGAATATTATTAGAATAAAGCAGGATACAAAATTTATGTATAATTCCAACTAAAAAAGTATGAGCCCTGGATCTAGAAGATATCAAGGATACCTTTGTAAAAATCTTTTCTCAAGTACCAGTTTACTTAATACTCTATTCAGTTTTCCATGCTTTGATCTACCTGTGCTATCAATAGTTTATGTTAAAGACAATCATGTTCCTCTTTTTTTTTTTAAGATTTTATTTATTTATTTGACAGAGAGAGATAGCGAGAGCAGGAACACAAGCAGGGGGAGTGGGAGAGGGAGAAGCAGGCTTCCTGCCAAGCAGGGAGCCCGATGCAGGGCTTGATCCCAGGAACCTGGGATCATGACCTGAGCCGAAGGCAGACGCTTAACGACTGAGCCACCCAGGCATCCCAGTCGTATTCCTTTTAAAGTCTTTTCTGCATCATGCAGTAACTGGTATGTTGGGATCAGTTGGTTGAGGAGGCCGAACTGCCAGATGATCTCTCTGCAGGCTATAACATGTATTGGACTGATAACGTTGTTTTCTCCGGGAGTGGTTTCCCATACTGACAGATGAGAGACAGAGGGAAAGGGTGTGATGCCCTGGAATTAGGTACCTGGGACAGTGTTGCTTCATTTGCTCCAGACTCTTTGGAAGCCAACAGCTGTGTAGGAAGCAACTTTGTACTGAATTCAAATTGTGGACGGCAATTGATTTTTTTCAGGCCATTTATGCCAGTGTTCTTCCTGGAGAGTTAATGAGGGGGTACATGACTCAGTTTCCTACCTTCCCAAGCTGGTTGGGGAAGCACTCATCTACCGGCAAACATGATCGTATTGTACAGGACCTAGCACTGCACATGAGTCTTAGGTAAGTGGTATTAGTCCATGTGTGGCATTTTATCAGTGTAGTGTATTTATTTAACCGCTGTCCAGTGAGGATAGCATAAGTCAAAAGATTTGTGTTTCAGTTTTGATTTTTTTTTTTAAGATTTTTATTTATTTATTTGACAGAGAGAGGCACAGCGAGAGAGGGAACACAAGCAGGGGGAGTGGGAGAGGGAGAAGCAGGCTTCCAGCAGGGCAGGGAGCCCGATGTGGGGCTCAGTCCCAGGACCCTGGGATCATGACCTGAGCCGAAGGCAGACGCTTAACGACTGAGCCACCCAGGCGCCCCTCAGTTTTGATTTTATTGCGAACTAGATAAATGATCCTGGATAAGTTCCTTATATTTTGTGGGCCTGAGTTTTATTATCTATAATTAGTATAATACTTGTTTTGTCACTTAAAAGTATACTTTGGAGAATAAGCCCAGTTGGTAGATGTGCCATAACTTTAAGATAAATTTTAAAGCTATGTAAATCTGAGGTAGGGCTACTATTTATCATGACTATGCCTGTTACTAGTAGGCATACATAATGTCTCAGCTTCCAAATAATTTAATAGGAAAAAGGGGACTATTTAAATAGTCCTAGTAGGATACTAGGTTGTAGTACCTATCCTAGTAGTAAACTGACCTAGTCATTTAGGGTAGGGGACACAGTTTAGCATATAACAGTAGGAGGCAGACATGCAGATGACTGAAAATCAATGTGCCTGGAGAAGTTTAATGAAGTCCAAAAATTCTTGTTATTTGGTACAATTTGTTAAAGTTTAGAAACTTAGAAAATGTGCATGCGCATAAATATTAAGTGAACTTAAGGAATTTATTTTTAACCACGAAGAACTACTTGAGCAGTCTTACTTCTCTTTCTGATCTCTGGAGGGAATGTTAACGTTGGTCCACTCTTAACTTTTTTCTGAAGCTGAACTGAAATGGTTCCTTTCTTCTTCCTGTAGAAATCTACTTCCTACTGTGGTCCCTCTTCTTAGCCTATGGCATGGGTCTTTTTTTGCCACTCTTGTAATCGTGTCCTATTGTTGCTGTAACAAATTACCAAAACTTAATGGTTTAAAATAACACAAATTTATTGCCACCTTAAGATGCAAAGAATGTCCTGGATTATATGGGCAGGCCCAGTGTAATTATAAGGATCTTTACCAAAAAAAAAAGTGGGGGGGGGGGGAGGCAGCCATATCAAGTCAGAGAGAAAGAGATTTTAAGATGTTACATTGTTGGCTTTGAAGATGGGAAAAAAGACCATGAGCCAAGGGATGTCCATGGCCTCTAGAAATTAGAAAGGGTTGCATTTCCCACTGCTCTTCTCATTGCTCAAGTGGGAGGCCTGGCTTTGAGCTCTTTTCCTATTCCTTGCCCTCTGTTTTTTAAAAAGGTGATGTATCCCTGTGCCCTAGGGGTATCTGCCTTTGACTCCCCCACCCTTCATGTAGATTGTGAGCACTGGACTTCCACTTTGTTTTGTGGCTGTGCTTTTGTGTATCCGTCCCCTTCTCTCATTAGACCGAACATTTCTGGTGGTAGGAACTGAGGCCTACCCATCCAGCATATAAAATTGGTTGGTAAATGTTCCCTAATGAATCACACACAGGACATTGTCATATCAAAGGATCTATAGTGAATTTCACAATTTTTAAAGTAAATTAGGACCTTCCTATTTAACTTTTTTTTTTTTTTTGAAGATTTTATTTATTTATTTGATAGAGAGATAGCGAGAGCAGGAACGACAAGCAGGGGGAGTGGGAGGAGGAGAAGCAGGCTTCCCGCCAAGCAAGGAGCCCGATGCAGGGCTCGATCCCAGGACCCCAGGATCATGACCTGAGCTGAAGGCAGACACTTAATGACTGAGCCACCTAGGCGCCCCCCTATTTAACTTTTTAACCCTGATTAAGTCATTGAACTTTTGGAAGTGCGATTTTATCATTAGTTCTTGTTGGGGTTATAGATGCCTTTGAGAATCTGAAAGCTCTTTGATCTTTATTACTCCCAAATGTGCGAATGCACAAACAATGCTAGGGGAATTACAGATTTCTGAGGTTAAGAACCCTTGATTTAGGAACACTAGATACCTTTAGACTTTTCTAGAGTTGAATTCTCTGTGATTTGGAGTAAAAGATAACAGTAATGTAACAAAATATAAGAGAATACTTTTGAAAAAGTTTCATGATTTTCTTAGGCTTAGGGCTCATACTTGTCTTTAAGTACTAATTGTGCTTGATTATAGAAGACTGAATCTAGAGGAAATGGGTAAATTTAAAATAAGGGTTTTTTTGGATTCTTTGCCTACGTAGTAAAACAGTTGGGGGCAGGGTTCTAGATTTCTAATCAAGAGAACTGTTCAGACTCAGTTACCTGAAGGCAAGAGCAGGACCCATTAATAATTTTAACATTTTCATGGGTTCTGAAGCCTAACAGCTTTTGAGGTTTCTCGTTTGGATTATGCACGCATATAATTGCCTCATTTGATGATGGAGGCAGCTGGATTGGAAAGATTTAGATTGGTGGCATTTTGTTCTGTTCATCTATTTTCTGTCTTTGAGTGACAGTATTTAAGAGCACGAGAGAAAGTCATTTCATGATAACATTGTAGTTCTCAGCAGACTTTTTCCTGAAGCCTTCCCCTCACAAGTGTGGACTACCTTGTGATTGTGCAGGGACATTTTCTGCAGTTTTCTTAGTTTGGGGAAAGCCCTGCTCTAGAACTAAAGATTTCAGAGTAACCCTATTAGGAAATATGAGGGAAATATTCATATATAATTTTGTATGTTATAATCAGATGAAAAGGTATTGCAGACCGTCATGTAGTAAGTAGCAGTGGAACTTGAGGTAGGAAATCTCACTGCCTTTTACTGATGCTTTTAATATTTGGAACTAGGAATGAGTAATCTTTGGCTATATTAAGTATGAGCACATAGAAATCCTGTTGCCCAGGCCTTGAGAGTAGGTTGCAAGTAGAACCTACATTTGTGTTTTTCATTGACTGATCCAGAGAAGTAGAAAATTCATTCCCTTTGAGCACACTGGTGTGTGTCCATCATCCTGATGGTGTAGTGCTAGGCTTTCTCTACCAGCTGTTAAATAGTAGACATTACATTGGGCATTATTAAAAGTGGATTGAACTTCACACTATGACTTGAGTTGGTGGTAGTTTGCCACTGACTACAGTTATGTCTCTTTTGTTTTGGTTTAAGAACTTATTCCAGCAAAAGGACTGTAAACATGGATTATCTGTCCCATGTAAGGGATGCACTTGTACAGCCCTTGACCTCACAAGGGGTAGAAGGAGTACAGGACGTTATTGCTCTTATGGACACCTACTACTTGATGAAAGAAGACTTTGAGAATATCATGGAAATTAGCAGCTGGGGAGGCAAATCTAGTCCCTTCTCCAAGCTGGACCCCAAGGTAAATTGTGTAACTCACTGGTTCTCCGTCACTTTGTGATTACAAGTTTGTAGTAGGAGTATTTCAGAGATGTTGTAGGTGCTTTAAAAAGGTTTAATTTTTTCCCCTTAAATGCTTTTTGCTTCTTACGGCCTATGCTTTCCAAAGATACTATTTGAGTGCAGAATTAAGAATGGACTTCTGGATTTGACCTTAACTATTTGTAGTTTTATCATTGCTTTATGTTGAGTGGAAAAGCAAGACATGAAATCTGAGAAGCCAGTATATAAATGTATTCCATGTAAAGTCGGATGGATGAGCCTGGGGAAGTAAGTCAGGTGGTGGTAATACATTATGAGAAGAAAGATGTGTTTATTGGCTGAGGATTTTTATACTTTTTCTCAGTCTGTCTAATCTGTGAACTTAGTATTTATTATAGTTGGACAGTTTACTATGTAATAATGTATTCCCTACTTTCTTTATATAATGAGCATGAAAAAACTAAAATGACGTAACATGGATCTGTAATATCCAGTACCTCACACTCTGCCTGTTTCTTTGGTGCTGTTTTATTTTATTTATTTATTTTTTAAAGATTTTATTTATTTATTTGACAGAGACACAGCGAGAGGGAACACAAGCAGGGGGAGTGGGAGAGGGAGAAGCAGGCTTCTGGAACACAGGGCAGGGAGCCCAATGCAGGGCTCAATCCTAGGACCGTGGGATCATGACCTGAGCCGAAGGCAGATGCTTAACAACTGAGCCACCCAGGCGCCCCACTTTGGTGCTGTTTTAGAAGATATATTCTCTATGGCTTACCTTCTCTAGAATTTTGATCTGACTTTATGGTTATGGGTAAATTCTCTCATGAGAGACCTCCATTGTTAGAATTCAAGGACTAATTCTATAATTATGTTTAGAAGCTTCAAGTTAAGGCTTTCAAGTTACTTAGTATTTTGAATTAACCATTTTATGATAAAGGTAATTTATGTATTTTGTAGTAATTAAAGGCCAAGTTTAACTTGTACCTTATTGTAAGTCTTTTTTGATTTATTGATTCACTATGCTTCTCACTTTGTAGGACTGTGGGATGCACTATTAAGGCAAAAATGATGAGCTAAAGTTTTTTGTTTTTTTTTTTCCTGCCTAATGTTCCCAAATACTAGTTCTTATTTTTGAGTCATGGGCTCTATTTTTTTTTTTTTTTTAAAGATTTTATTTATTTATTTGACAGAGAGAGAGATAGCGAGAGCAGGAACACAAGCAGGGGGAGTGGGAGAGCGAGAAGCAGGCTTCCTGCCAAGCAGGGAGCCCAATGCAGGGCTTGATCCCAGGAACCTGGGATCATGACCTGAGCCGAAGGCAGACGCTTAACGACTGAGCCACCCAGGCGCCCGAGTCATGGGCTCTATTAAGAATGTCATGAAAAACATAGAACTCCTCCGTAGAACAATGTATATAAGTACACTTACATGTACATGCGTAAATATTTCACAGACTATTTCAAGGATCTTGCAGGATCTCACAAAACCTTTGGTTTAAAATTAGGATTGTTTGGCACTTATTTTTAACAGCCTCTTTCTATTCCTTTCCTATAGGTGAAAGCAGCCTTCACAAGAACTTACAATAAGGAAGTCCACCTTACTCCATATTCACTTCAGGCAGTAAAGACACCTAGACACAGCACAGGCCCAGCACTGGATTCTGAATACAATGAAGAGTTAAATGAAGATGACTCTCAATCTGATGAGAAAGACCAAGACTCTGTGGAAACTGATGCAATGATCAAGGTAGTATTTTAAGCTACAGACAAGAAATGCCATGATATTCCCTTGGTAGTTTATCTTTTCTTGTGTACAGCTCGCCTTCTGAAATTATTCAGGGCCCGTTTTTAAGTTTTTACATTCATCACATTGAGGGTAGAGAAGGTATAGATTTTATTCTTATAAATAGCTGCTTATAATAGTGGAAGAAGGCAAGAAAATAGGCCATCATATGATGGTCATATGCTGTTAGAAAAAGTACCAGTTTTATTTGGTCATTCGTGTGTGCTTTACCATAGACACATATTTTTTTTTTTTTTTAAGATTTTATTTATTTGCGAGAGAGAGAATGAGAGACAGAAAGCATGAGAGGGAGGAGGGTCAGAGGGAGAAGCAGACTCCCTGCCGAGCAGGGAGCCCGATGCGGGACTCGATCCCGGGACTCCAGGATCGTGACCTGAGCCGAAGGCAGTCGCTTAACCAACTGAGCCACCCAGGCGCCCTTATAGACACATATTTTTACAGTTTAATTAAGAAAAACATTTTCAGTGAAACTCTTTCTTCTGTAATTTGTGTTTTGCTATAGCCATTGAACTGCCTATAGAAATTTCTCAGATTGAAACAATCTTGTCTTGTGCTAGGAGAGATTAAAACCATTTATGGTACCAGCCTACTGTTTACCTTTGGCTAAGGCAAAGGAATCTAGTCTGTGTTCTCTTCTTTCCTTAGTGTGTGTCATTCTTGTCCCTCATTTCTGTTTTGTATATGCAAGGGTAGGAAAAGCGGCCTTCTGCAATGTAGCTCTCTAGTCTTGTGTAGACATAAGAGGTTGTCTCCCTCTCTCCCCTTCTCAAACCGAACGTGTTTAGATCTCTAATTGGAAACTGAAAGAAAAGGAAATTCTTCATTAAAATATTACCTTACTAGTAAAATATCTCCTGCTCATTTTTTCTTTCCTAAATATACCTATCTCCTAAATCCAAGAAACTATGCCTGGGGAACGTGTCTTAGTTCTAGATTCTCAATAGCTTTTCTGTAGTTAAAGGCTCCAACTAGCCCAGTTGTTCCTTGAAAGTAAGCTCATCTGGAGTGGTGGTAGGTGAAGATGTTTGCAACCTTTCTATTACGTTGCAGGTAAAGATCTGCTTTATTGTAGAAATTGACTTATTTCATTCCCTCATAAAGACAGCTATTAACTATTTCGTGCATTCTTCTCTCCCAACAGAAAAAGACAAAATCTTCAAAGCCTTCAAAATCAGAAAAAGATAAGGAGTCCAGAAAAGGAAAAGGAAAAAGTTCAAAGAAATGAAATGAAACTGTTTTTCACTACTGACAGCCACTTTTTACTCACCCCGTTGACCCGTCTAGCTTGTCTAGATAATGCCTTGTTTTTTCCAAAGGAATCATATTTTAGCATAATGGGGCAACTCAGTGGTCCCATTATAAATAAACGGTGGTACAGCTAGAGGGATGTAACCGGTAGGCTAACATACACCTCTTATAGAGGTTGATAGGACTGCTTGGGTCCTCCACTGTCCCCTGTCAATCTAATTAGATTGTGCTTCATATTGACTGTATAATCAGAAACTACATGTGAGCTTTGGAGTCAGATTTTAGTTAACAGTATATGCCTGGGAACATTGGTACTAAGGCAACTTTTGTAGGCTTAAGAATTTATCCCAATGGCCATTATAGGACCGATGCCGATTTTTTTAAAAAGGTAGTTACTATTATGTGGTGAAATTTTGTAAATAAATCATAATACAAAACAGTCACCACCTAGAACTGGTGTTCTTTGTATATTGTCAAATATCTTACAAAATATAAATCAGGAATAAACATGTTCCACATGACACATGTGCAAATTCTTAAAAATGTCATCTTGTACAGTAAAATAGTATGTTGGTATATTACATTCCTTATTAGTTTGCAAATGATTGGGTAAAAAGCTAACTCTTCCTCACTAACCAGTTGTGTGAAGCAGAACTTTGGCCGTTAGACAGTCAGAACTCTCATTCCCAACTTGATTACCTCTATGAGTGCCAGCCATATCTCTGTTGTGAACAGCATGTCATGGACAGGCCTCTGTGGCATCACTGGGGGGGATGGGCGGCTGTAAAAGGATTGCCACATTTTTAGCCTTCCAGAGTCTCAACTCATCAGGTTCAAACCAGTAGGGTCTAGGTCAGGTCAGAATCTTAGTCTCACTCTGACTTGGGACAAAATGAATGCTGGCTTTTGTTTGCCTCTGGGAGCTCTGGTTCTGCCCTGTGACTGATTCCACAAACCATACTGGAATTTTAGATTGTCCCTGTAACTGTACTTGCTGAGTAGCTCTGAGGCTGTGCAAGTAGCCTGGAATTTAGCTGTCTAGCTGTTTTGAAATTTTGTCAGGAAATGTTCAGAGGTATGTGCTAAAAGGAATGTAAAATTAGGATACTATTTCCTCCCTTTAAGTAATTGACAGTATTGTTTGGGAGGTGAGACATGAAGTTCTTGAGACATTTAAAGTGTACTTACCAGTGTGAAAAATGTCTTTCATGTAGACTAAGTTCATTATGGGAATAAAATGTTGCCTTCAGTCTTGCCCCTCTCTTTGTTAAAGCCCAGCTCGAAACTTCTGCTTCAGTGAAGATCTCCTTGATTGACGACTGCCTCACCTCACCAGTGGGGTGAGCATGGCTTTCTTTCGCATATTCTTCTGTTTCTATTGCTTTTTGATATGAAAGTCATGTCTGCCTACTTGTTTTTTATTCGCCAGGAAAGGGAGTGTAATCTCCTTGCAGCCAGAACAATGAATATGAGTTTACTTGTAAATTATGATTTTGTTAATAATTCTAAATACTCTGTGATTGATTGGCATAATCAATGTATAAGATAAATAACTTTTAGAGTTAGAGGTTATAAATACGCTCTTTAAAATAGGAGGACAACATGGATCTGCTGGAGCTACGTGATGGCCACGTATCTTTGCAGAATAAAACTGCATACTTCTTTTGACATCCATTGTGTCTTGGCCATTTTGGAAGCTGTTACAAACTACTGTGCTTTATCCTTCATCCTTTTAAGTTTTTGCGGTCCATTATTGCAGCAACATTATTTGGCCTCTTGAAGTTATTAACAAGGAGCAGTGTTGTATGTACTGGGAGGAGTATCTTCCTAAATAAGTTCTGGTGTAATTATGCTTATTAGTGAATGTTTAAAGCCCATAACTCCCCAGATATGATGTGCTTTACTCTCACAGATCCTAAGTGCCTATGGCTCTTATTCCTATAACTTTACAACATCCCTCCAGTGATAATGGGAAAACAAGAGGATGATAGGTGGTTTAATGATAATGACTTGTATCACTTAGTAAAGCCAAGGCCTCTGGCCTATTCTCTAGCCAGGCTTTGTGGGAGGAAGATCAGATCATAAAGTTGGAGGCATCATGTATGTGGATACTTGGATGTGATAAAACATTATTGTCCCTTGGGTATTACCATAGGCTTGCAGGTACCTTTGTAATACTCAGGATGCTGGTGGCTATGCTGTTAACATTCAGAGTTAGGCTATTTGCCTCATTTCTGCCAGCTGCTCAGACTTTGGTGACATTGGCTTTGGCTGACAAGGAAGCATATACTGATGCAGGAAAAATGGCGGTGTGTGTGATATGGGGAAGATTCTGGAAAATGTACATCTTCAGGGGAAATCAAATGATTTAATTTTGTGAAAGGAATTAACAACTCAGGAGATAGCTTGTGGTTTATAGTTTCATTCTTTCAAATTGGTGTTTTTATTCTAAGACTGATTGTGCTAAACTTCTCATTTCAAACTTTTAAGTGTTAATGTCTGTGCTGCCCAGACTTCACAATGCTGTCTCCCTTTTTCTATCTCCAAATCCAGGAAAACATTACAAATATCTAATCAACAATTTTATTTTAAAGGAGATATTTCAAAATATAAAAGTTATCAAAAAGTTGAATATTTACAGTTACATCATAGGCTACTGTATATGTAAGACTTTGAAGAGGAACTCTACAAAGTATAACAAACAGCAAGGCTATATGTCACTGTTTTGCCACTCTACAATGGCAACTGTACAATGTCTGTGACCTGGAGAGTCTTTCTTTTTTCTGTATCCAAAAGCCACCAGGAGTAGAAACTTGGCCTCCTGTGGAATCTTTTCAGCAGGAACATATCTAGAAAAGAAAAAAAAACCCAAGCCCCACATCTTTAGAATGTTTAAGTAACTGGCAGGCACTAATGAAGCCAAGCTATACTAAAGAAGTTTTTGCTCATTTCTGGAATGTGGAGCAGGATGACTATTCAAGTTAGAAACCTCTGGTCTGTAATCAGTATTGAGTTTAAATCTGAAAGTGTACATGCGAACTGTTAAACTGTTATAAAGTGAGGGTGATGGTAATAGCCACTTTCCTGGTAAGAATGGGAAATTGCAAGGTAAGTGCTCAGCAATCTATGAAGATTTTCCTGAAACTGAATGGTCATTAATGGTTCCTTCTCTAAAAGGAGTCAGTGAACAGTAGCCTCAGCTAATATTCATTGTACAATAAGACATTTATAGTGACTTTTTATAGTCACAATTGTAGCATAATCATAACTTCCATATAGGAACCATGGGACTAAGCCTCTACTTTAACGCAGGGATAGTGTGGAGAGAGTCTATGTTAAAAACATAAGATCCTCCTTTGGTGGAATTGCAGAGTATCCTCCTGCAGATAATAGTTACAAACTCAGGACAAAATATAACTACTCAAAGGCATTGGAAGAGCAACCAAAAGCTGGTAGAGATTGGAAAGGTGTAAACTCTTGAAAAAAGAGAAGTCCACTGGGTAAGATTCATCTTCATATGTGTTTGCACCTGAGGGTAAGTCCATGAGGACCGTGAAGTCATAGTCTTACTAGCTCAGAGAGAGAATAGAGTTTGGGCTTGCCAGAACTACTGAAATGATAGGGATAATATCCCGAAAATCTGCATATAAACTCCATGTAAACCCTTGAACTTCACAGGCTTAGAAGAGACTTTTATGCTGGACTAGAAGAAGCACAGTTCCACGTTTAAGGGAATGCCATGTGTTAGAAAACTGAGGGCTGCTTCTAGGATCTGAGGGCCCCGGTACTCTCACGGTAAGAATGGAATTCACCAACAGGCTGGACAAGAGTCTCACATTAGATTGCAGCTCCAACCAACTTGGAGCCTTTTGAGATCCTGAACAGAAGACTCTGCTAAGCCGTGCCTATATTACTGATCCACAGAAATTGTGAGGTAGATAGGTTCTGGTTCAAGATGGCAATGTAGGAAGATCCTGAACTACCTCTTCCTATGGACGCAGTGCATCTACAGCTACATATGGAACAAGTCCCTCTGAAAGAGATCCAGAAACTAGCTGAGCAACTGCTGCATATCAGGTGAAAAAGAAAAAACCCACATCAAAAACAGGTAGGAGAGGGTGAGAAAATTTTGCCATATACTCTCCCCCCCCCCCCAATGAAGACACACAACCAGGAGGGAATTCAACAACTCCTAGCTTTCTCCCTGAGGAGTGAAGGTTTTGGACCCCCCATTTCATGCCCTGACTTTTAAGACTTCCACCTGAGAGATGGGCCTCCAAAACCTCTAGCTTTAAAAGGCAACGGGCCTTGTATCCATGAGAACTAAAAGGAAACAGTTCAAAATGAGATCACATGGACCCACAGTGGCTAATCCCCCAGGGCCCAGCTCAGAGGTAGCAGACTGAAGTGCACCCAGTCTATGTGAAAAAGGCCTATTAAAAGCTTTGGCTTGAGGGGCAGGCTTCTAATTTAACACATACTTAGGGGCCAGCTGCAACACTCTGCTGAGACTGCAGGGCTAGCAGGCACCATCTTTGTGTTCTTTCTCTGCCTTGTGCCAGGTGGCTCTCTCAAAAAGGAGCTTGTGCACAAGTCTGGCACTCCAGTTTCTGCTGCCACCCAGGGGACACCCCTTAATCACCTAACTCTGGTGGCCATCAGGGTTTTACGTTTGCAAGTCCCAACTGGACTGTCACAGAAACCATTCTTAACCAGCTAGTCTTCCAGGCCATAATGCAGAGGCAGCAGACAGAAATGGCCGGTCTTTATGAAAGAGGCTTATTTGCTTAATTTAATAACTGTGGCCTGAAGGTTCACCTTCCAATCAGCCTGCATCTAGGTGCTGACTGAGATTCCCCCTTCAGGATACTGACAGGTCTTGGGAGCAACTAAGAAGGAAGAACCAGGGTAGTGTTGAATGGTTAGGCTCATTTCCCACATGCGGCCACTCCTTCAAGACTGGGAGAGGTGGCTGTCTTAGCTAATGTGTAGAAACCAACACAGAGTCAATGAAAATGAGGAAACAGAGGAATATGTTCCAAACAAACAGGTAAAACCTCAGAAAAAGACCGTAATGAAATGGAGGTAAGTGATTTACATGATAAAGAGTTTACAGTAATGGTCATAAAAACAATTCATTAACAAAGTGAAGAAAGTACTAAACAAATCACAGACTTGAAGAATACAACCACTGAACTGGATAATACAATAAAAAGTCTCAATAGCAGAATAAATGAACAGAAAGGATCAATGAAACTGAAGACAGGTCCATGGAACTCAGCTAATCGGCACAGCAAAAAGATAAAAGCATGAAAAAAAGTGATTACAGTTTAAGGGATTTATGGGATAACATCAACCAATATTCACATTATAAGGGTCCTAAAAGAGAGGAGTGAGTCTGAAAATTTCCCTAACTTGGGGAAACAGACATCCAGATCCAGGAAACTCAGAGTTCCAAGCAAGATGAACCCAAAGAGACCCACACCAAGACACATTATAATTAAATTGCCAAAAGCGAAAGGAGAGAAGCAACTTGTTACATACAAGGGAACCCCTGTAAGACCATCAGCAACTTTTTCAGTAGAAACCTTTGCAGATGAGAAGACAGTGGCGTGACATAAACTGCTGTGAAAGAAAAATGCTAACCAAGAATATTCTACCTGGCAGTGTTGTCCTTCGGAACTGAAAGACAGTTTTCCAGACAAGGAAGACCTAAGAAGTTCATCACCGCTAGACCAGCCTTAGGAAATGTTAAAGGTGCTTCTTTAAGCTGGAAGTGCTGGTTAATAAGAGGAAAACATATGAAAGTATAAATCTGAATGCTTAAAGGTTAATATATAACTTCAGAATAATCTTGTTGTAATGGTGGTGGGTTAATCACTTACAAAAGTAATAAAAATAACCATCATGACAGTAATGGACACCCAAGATGCAGAGATACAAACTATGACAGTAAAAACAATGGGGAGTAAAAATGTAGAGCCTCAAAAAAAAAAAAAAAAAAAATGTAGAGCCTCAGAACTTACCAACTTAAAATAGGTTGAATATAATCCTCATGGTAACCACAAAACAAAAATCTACAGTAGATACACGAAAGATAAAAGGGATCTAAGCATACCCCTATAGAAAGTCATTAAATCAAAAAGAAGAAAGGAACAATGGACTTACTGCCATTTTTATGGTTTTCTGGCTATTTTGTAAGTCCATATCTGTCAATAATTAAATGCAAATTGCTAAATCCTTTGATGAAGAGTGGCTGAATGGATTAAAAAACAATATCCATCTATCCTGATGCTGACAAGAGACTCAGTTTTAAGGACACAGACTGAAAGTGAAGGAATGGGAAGGATATTCCAGGCTAATGGAAATCAAAAGAAGGCTGGAATAACTTTACTTATACCAGACAAAAAGGATTTTAAAACAGACTGTAATAGACAAAAGAAGGTCATTATACAATGAAAAAAGGTCAACACAAAAATGGATATAACATTTTAAGTATGCACCCAACATAGAAACATCTAAAGATATAAAGCAAAAATTAAGGTCTAAAAAATAACAATATAGTAAGAGTAGGGGACAGACAGTGGATAAATCATCCAGACAGGAAATCAGTATAAGGAAACACCGCACTTAACAGACATTTACAGTGCATTTCATCCAAAAGCAGAATACACAGACTTAAGCACACATGAAACATTCTCGAGGACAGATCATAGGTTAGGCTATGAAAACAAGTCAATAAATTTAGGAAGACTGAACATCTTTTCTAACCACAGTGGTATGGAACTAGAAGTCATTTATAAGAAGAAAACTGGAAAATTCAAAAATATGTGGAGATTCAACAACATGGTATGGAACAACCAGTGGGTCAGAGAAGAAATCAAAAGAAAAAATATCTTGAGACAAATGAAAATGGAAAGACAATATACCAAAACTTAAGGGATGCGGTGAAAGCAGTTTTTTTTTTTTTTTTTAAGATTTTATTTATTTATCTGAGAGAGAATGAGAGAGAGCTTGAGAGGGGGAGGATCAGAGGGAGAAGGAGACCTCCCACTGAGCAGGGAGCCCGATGTGGGACTCAATCCCGGGACTCCAGGATCATGACCTGAGTCGAAGGCAGTTGCTTAACTAACTGAGCCACCCAGGCGCCCAACAAAAGCAGTTTTAAGAGGGAAGCTCATAGCAATTAATGCCTACATCAAGAAACAAGAAGGATCTCAAGGTAAACATAACTAACTTTATACCTCAAGGAACCAGAAAGAACAAGCTAAGCTAAAGTTAATAGAAGGAAGAAAATAACAAAGAGCAGAAATAAAGGAAAGAGACTAAAAAGACAATAAAAAACAGCAATAAAAAAGAGCCGGTTAAAGAAAATAGATAAACCTTTTGCTAGACTCACCAAGAGAAAAGGACTCAGAAATGAAAGAGGAGATATTAAACGGATAACACAAATACAAAAGATCATAAAAGACTACTATGAACTACTACACACCGACAAATGAAACAACTTAGAAAAGAAATGGAATATTCCTAGAAACATAGAACCTTACAAGACTGAATCATGAAGAAACAGAAAATCTGAGCAGACCAATTACTAGAAAGGAGGTTGAAGTAATCAAAAAACCTCTCAGCAAACAAAAGTCTAAGACAAGATGGCTTCACTGGTGAATTTTACCAACATTTAAAGCATTCAAACCAATCCTTCTCAAACTCTTCCAAAAATAGAAGAGGAGGGAACCCTTCCAAACTCATTTTATGTGCCAGCATTAGTTGGCTACCAAAACCAGACAAGGATACCACAATAAAGTAATAGGCCAATATTCCTGATGAACATTGATGCAAAAATCCTAAGCAATCTATTAGCAAACTGGATTCAAAAATGTTAAAAGGATCATACACCACGATCAACTGGGATTTATTCCAGGGATGCAAGGATAGTTTAGCATCTACAAACCAATCAGTGTGATATACCACATTAAGAAAATGAAGAATAAAAATCATATGATCAGTTAGTAGATACAGAAAAAGCATTTTAACAATATTCAACATCCACTGATGTTAAAAAACTTCACCAAAGTGGGTATAGAGGGAACATACCTCAGCATAATAAAGGCCATATAGGAGAAGCCCATAGCTATCATCCTTCTCAATGGTTAAAAGCTTAAAAGCATTTCCTCTAAGATCAGAAAGAAGATAAGGACCCCTACTCTTGCCACTTTTAATTAAACATAGTACTTGAAGTCCTAGCCAGAGCAGTTACGCAAGAAAAAGAAAGAAAAGGCATACAAATTGGAAAGGAAGAAGTTAAAGTGTCACTATTTGCAGATGACATGGTATATATAGAAAACCCTAAAGACCACTAAAAAACCGTTAAAGCCTAATGAGTTCAGTGAAGTTTCAGGATACAAAATCAATATATAAAAGTCTCTTGCACTTCTATACACTAATAATGAACTATCAGAGATTAAGAAAACAATCCCACTTAAAACTGCATAAAAAAGGAATGAAATACTTATGTGTAAATTTAACCAAGGAGGTGAAAGACCTGTACGCTGAAAACTGTAAGACATTGGTGAAAGAAATTAAAGACAGATATTCTGTGGTCACAGATTGGAAGAATCAAAACTGTTAAAGTGTCCTTACTACCCAAAACAATCTACAGATTCAGTGCAGTTTCTATCAGTTTCCAATGATATTTTTTCACAAAAATAGAATAAACAATCCTAATGTTTGTATGGAACCACAAAAGATCCTGATTAGCTAAAGCAATCTTGAGAAAGAAGAACACAACTGGAGGCACATTTCCTGAAACTATATTACACAGCTATAGTAATCAAAACAGTATGGTATTGGCATAAAAACAGTCACATAGTAGACAGTAGATGTGAAGATCAGTGGAACAGACTAGAGAGCTCAGAAATAAACCTATGTATATATGGTCAATTAATTTGTGACAGAGGAGCCAGGAATATATAATGGGGAAAGGAGAGTCTCTGTAATAAGTGGTGTTGGGAAAACTGGACCACTAGCTCACACCATACACAAAAATCAACTCAAAATGGATTAAAAACTTGAACAGAAGACCTGAAAGCATAAAACTCCTAGAAGAAAATATAGGGGGTAATAAGCTCCTTGACATCAGTCTTGGTAAGGATTTTTTGGATTTGACACCAAAAGCAAAGGCGGCAAAGCAGCAAAGCAAACGTAAACAAGTGAGACTATCCTAACTACAAAAAACTTCTGCATAACAAAAGAAACCACCAACAAAATGAAAGGGCAGCACATGGATTGGGAGAAAATATTTGCAAATCATAGATCTGATAAAGGGTTAATATAAAGAACTCATACAGTTCAGTAGAAAAAAAGCCACTTAAAAATGGGCATAGGATCTGAATAGAAATTTTTCCAAACAAGATACACAGATGGTCAACAGGTACATGAAAGGGTGCTGCTAAACATCACAGGTTATCAGGGAAATGTAAATCGAAACCACAATGATGTATCACCTCACACCTGTTCAAATGGCTATTACCAAAATGACAAGAAATCACAAGTGCTGGGAAGGATGTGGAGGTGCCTTGGGCACCGCTAGGGATGCAAACTGGTGCAGCAACAGGGAAAAACAGTATAGAGGTTCCTCAAAAAATTAAAAATAGAATTACCATGTGGTCCAGCTGTTCCACTGTTGGGTATTTATCTGAAAAACAAAATCACTATCTTGAAAAGATACCCCTATGTTCATTTTGGCATTATTTACAATAGCCAAGATTAGGAAACAACCGTAAGTGGCCATCTACACTGGATAAAGAAAATGGCACGTGTGTATGCATGCATGCACATAAACACAGGAATATTATTCAGCCATAAAAAAAGAAGGAAATACTGCCATTTGCAACAACATGGATGGACCCTGAGGGGGAGGGCACTATGGTAAGTGAGATTAGAGAAAGACAAAATACTGTATAGTCTGACTTATGTGTATGAAAAAATTGGAATTCATGGATACAGAGAACAATTTGTTGCCAGAGGCCTGGGGTGGGGAGTGGGTGGAATGGATGAAGGTGCTCAAAAGGTACAAGGTCATAAGTCTGGGGGATATAAGGTACCGCATGTTAACTATAGTTAACCATATTATATATTTGGAAGTTACTAAGAGATTTAAAAGTTCTCATTAACAAAAATTTGTACCTCTGTGTGGTGTGGATGTTAACTCACTGTGGTAATCATTTCTGTATATATAACCATTATGTTATACACCGAAAACAACTGATATCAACTATCAATAAAAAAATTGACATAGTTAATGTATATTATTTTAAGATGCTAAATTTATGATGTTATACAGCAACAGGAAAACGAAACGAATCCCAATCATAATTTGAGCAAGCTTTAAAAATAGAATTTGACAAGCTGATTCTGAAATTTTATAGGGAGATGGAAAGGATTAAGAGTAGTCAAAACAATCTTGGAAAAAAATGACAACATTGGAGGATCCACAGTACCTGACTTTTAGATATACTAGAAAGCCACAGTAACCAAGACAGTGTAGTATTGAAATAGGGGACAAATACATCAATGGAAAAGAAGAGAGTCCAGAAATAGATCAGTATTTAAAACCTCATTGGTTTTCAACAAAAGCACCCAAGCAATTCAATGAGGAAAGAAAATACTTTTCAACAAATGGTATTGGAAGACTGGATATCCAGTTGGGGTAGGGGAGAATGTTAGTCCTCGTCTCACAATGTAAACAAAAATAATTTCAAAATGGATCGCAGACCTAGAGCTTCTAAAAGAAAACATATTAGAATATGCTTGGGAGTTGTTAGTAGGCAAATATTTTTTTAGACAGGATACAATAACCATAAAACTTAAAAATGTATAAATTATAAATTCCATCAAAATCTCATCAAAAGATACCATTAAGGAGAAGAATTGGGAAGCCACAGAAAGAGAAAATATTTGCAAAATATATCTGACAGACCTGTATCTAGAAAATACAAATAAAAGAAGTTTTACAACTCAGTAACAAAAAGACA